CTTTCCGGATCAGTCTTCCGCTTTAATCCCGTGACCCTTCAGGACTGAGAGCAAATTAGCCTTACCGTGCTTATATACTCAAACAATCCTACAGTACAGGCACCAAAAACAGGCCACAGTTTTGATGGTAACGATCCGGTTTGGTATAAATGCCTGAAAAAACCATATACCTTACATCAACAAACGGGAGTTTCGGATCACATCTCGTCTGGGGGGATGATTTCTACGGATTTTTTTTTAGTTTTATACTGTTTTTTTTGTTTTTTTAGTTAATTTTTTATATGTCTGGTTTTTGGCTTTTTCTTATGTCCTATTTTAGTTTTTGTTTAGCTTTTTGTACATCTTCAACTGTTTTTGGTCATATACCGCTCAGGGAGCGACAGGGCGGCCCCAACCTTTGAGATCTTGATTTTTCCGTCTTATCTAGGTTCAAAAGCTAAATTAGGGAATCCGGAAGGCTTCCGCGTTTCCGAACAACCCGTCCGGCCCTTAGTTATGGGCTATATTTAGAGCATCCACTGGGCTCGAAGTGCTTCGTTAACGGGGCTGCCGATCATGATGTTAAAAGAAAAACACCCAGTAGCGCCATAAAAACATATATTTAACATTCTCCCAGAAGTACATACCGACGGAAAACAAAGATAGGTTCTAAAACGATTGACTAGCGTCTATACACAGCTTCACATGCTTTAAACCGTCTCTAACAAAGCCAGTTCAATGTGTGGTTCAATAATATCGGGTCGACGAAGTCATTGATAGTTAGGGCAATCAGCCAAACCGCGCAAACCAACATAGTTATAAGCAAAAAAACTTTGAGCTCATGGCTGGGTCTCAGTATCCCCAGACCACGAGGTAACTCCTAAGAACAGGGGTACTACTTTAATTACCATGTTACTAATATTTTTGTTCAGTAGATAAAAATCATCATATCCATCGGAGATAGATCAACCCTTTCCCTCAACTCCTAGATTCCAATTATCTGAAAACCAACTTAATGTTATTTAATTCAATTCAGGACACACCAAGAAGCCAAAAGTCAACAAAATTCAGAAGTTATCTTTTCCCAAGACCCTTCCGGTATCTTGAATATGGCTGAAAAGCTGTCTTCTTGACGAACAGGAAGGGTAGCAAAATCATCCCAATAACCCTCATGTTCTCGGGAATTGCTCCGTAACGATTTTAGCTGCACAATCGTTACATTTCGGAATGCTCTTTCACTAATATCTCTTAGTACAATATCTGTCGCGTCTCTCGTTCGTCGCACGTCTGTGTGATATCAGCGAAAATCGTTTTTCTGATTTTCGCGGTTTTTCAAAATTAAAATTGTCACGTGTCTGTACAAACAAATGAATTTTCAAAATTTCCCATTTCAGTCAAAACCAACCTCTCTCAATCCGTTCAACTGAACATTTAGCTCTGTTAGTTCTCCGAAAAATCAGATCCTCGCACTGAACTTTTCAAGATAAAAATTCGTTCTTTTCTGACATGCAATTCAGTTCATTCTGGTCGAAGGTCACTTTGATGTTGTACCATCAGCTTGATCCCTCTCCTTCCGTTTCACTAATGCTTTCTTCCTTGTCTGTGAGGGTCTAATCTTAACTGATCCTGTATTTTCAATCTAACCCTAGTTATTCACTACCAGACCTGATTTGCGCACTTCCCGTCTTTAGATAGTTGGAAATGTTTTTAGGGCTGACGGGTCGATAGTTGTTTGATCTGTGGCTTTAAATTGAAATGTTGATGACGTCGGACCACACCACAACGTCTGGTCTTGAAAGCAAGGTGCGCTTTTCTAGAAGAAATTGCAAGTTCTTCTCCCTACTGTTTGTATTCTGATTGAGAAAGAGTCCGGGAATGGTCGTCACGATTGTTGAATAGACGTTTCTTTCTTCGGATTCCAGATCCTTTAGGCTAGCAGTGTAGCGAACTAGCAGCTACTATGTAAACCAGTCTGGCTCTGACATCATAAGACAGTACATTAAAAATAAGAGACACAGAAAGAAAAACATTAAGTCAGAATGCGTTAAAATTGTAAATTCAAATAAACGTTTTCGCATATATTGTGCATCTTCAGGTTTTAAATTTTTAAATGATGAAAGACCTAAATTTTTAAAATTCTAAATGATGAAATTGGTACAAATTGATGGAAGATCATAAAAAGTGTCATACACATCATTATTTCAAAATTTAAAAAATTCAACCAATCACAACTTAACAAATGTTACTGAAATTATGTGACAGTTATTATGTTACAATTTTAAACATTTAGTCACAAATTTCTGAAAGTTTTCACCTTTTTTGTTTTTACAATTTCCTTTTGTCGCTAATTTCATGCTAACATAAAAACTAATTTAAATTTTTTTGTTTTAGCCAGAATTTTTTTGATTCTGGAACTATAGCCTTAGCGTCAGCTCCCTTCTTCTAAACTCGTCGCGGGTGTTAATTGCCGGACTCTCTTTCCTAATGTGCAGCGCCTCTAATGTAAGTAACTTAATGCTGCTGGACGCCTTGTCGATTATCTTCCAATTAAACTCCGACTTACCACTCTCACTACCCCACTGCCTTATATGCTGTCCAACTGATGTATCCTCTTTTCGGTGTTCTTCAATCCTTGCGGTGAGATATTGGACCGTCTGGCCAACATAGATGGATTTGCACCCACAACATTCAAATCTATGCACCACTTTTGATTTCAGTTCACTGGAAAAGGAGGATTTTAGAGAGGGCATGCAAGTTTTCATTTTCTTCGTCGTGAATCTGCGCATTGGTGATATCGCGCACTTTTTCTGCTAATGACTGATTGTGATTCCCCCTATATTGGACCATCAAGATGGGTGGTGGATCACTGCTATAATCACAGGGCTTCTTTTTCTCAGCCATGTTCTTTTTGTTTTTGCCCTCCCTGATGATCTTTTCAAGGGCATGCCACGCAACCCGCGACGACCAACTTTCCGGCTGTTGGTTATACCACCACTGTTCACGGTTGATTTTCATCTCTTTATCATATTCTTACCATGTTGACGTACTGCGAAAAACTCGGTGAACAAATCCTTCAATCACACTTTTCTTGTACTGAAGGGGGCGCAGCTTCTAAAATTTAGTATGGTACCTGTATCTGTTGGTTTTTGATACCACCCACTGTTAATTTTCCTGCTTTTTTTCAATCCTAATTTGTAAATCTAAAAACGCCAATTTGCCGTTTGTGTTTGGTGTCTCTTTTGTGAACTGTAAAACTGGATGTAATAAGTTTGTAGCCCGTAGCACCTTTTCAGGATCACACTTCACTGTTCTCACTATATCGTCATTGTAACGGAGAAATAACTTAACTTGCTGCTCTGACTTATTTTCTCTCTTATCGCGATGCATTTTCTACAGTACCAGACGATTTCACTTACATTTCGTTACTCATCGTCTGATATATTACCGCATTTTACGTGATAGGAGTTCAAGCAGCATTCACATTCTACAACTTTCGACCTGTACGTGACCTTCTTATTGTACTTGGGACATATTCCGTTAAGATCTTTTTCGGTCAAAACATTTCGGGAATACCACTCGTTAGTGCAATTTCGTACTGCTTGAGCCAAAGCTTTGCTAAAATAACGGCAAGAGATGCCCCGATTGCCCAACCATCTTTATGAACGTACCAGGTTTCATTGCACTTCAAATGGACTTGACTAACTGCCATGTTCAACAGTCTCTTCATGGTTTTCCTTGCAATTTATGGTGGTTCATCTTGCTCATAAAGTTTTCTCAGAGCTATGTTTATTGCTTCCTTAAGTGGAACATTTGTATACAAACTCTTCACATCTAGAGATATCAAATTTCCATTGTGCTCAAGATTAATGCTCTCTAAGATTTCTCTCGCATCTAGTGATTTGGTTTCGTTATTTGCGCACTCAATTTTTTTGAAAAATTTTGCAAGAACCTTGTTCAAGTTATAGTAAGAGCTACCAAGCATTGAGAGGACCGGTCTTAATGGGGTATGCTCTCTATGCATCTTCGCCAACCCATAAAGCCTGGCGGGCTGCGCCCCAGTAGACCTCATCGTTGTGTAGCGCTTCTCATCTATTTCGTCTATTTTCCCAACTTTTTTTTGATGTCTCTTCCTAACTTCAAAATAATCGCATCACTTGTTCCTTCACTTTCGCTGAATTGATTTGAATCTAATGTATCAGACAACTTGTTCTCGTAGGTGTCCTTCCTCATTACAGAAAAACCCACGCCCTTGTCATATGGTACCGCAACTAATCCATTACTCTTCAGATACTTTCGGGCCTTCTCAACGCCCTTGTCAGATTGTGTTTGTTTCAACCTTTTAGCATAGGTTTTTGCCACAGCTTCGATCTCACAAAAGGCCTCCACAGGGACTTTACGATTTTTCAGATCCGATAGAAAGATGTCAATATCGGCGAGAAAATTTGTCTCATTAAAATTATCCCTGACGGGAAGTTCCGGCCCTAATGCCAAGACTTGTTGTACCAATTTGAGATTTTTTTTTCGTGTTTGAACGAAGCTTGGACAAAACAGCTGGCAGGTTGTCTTGGTGTTCGAACACAATCCGCAAAGACTTAAGCTCCAGCTGGATGTCCTGGTGCAGTGCCTGATATTCGTTGACCAGCTCCGTTCTTCTCTTTCACTTTGAAATAAAACACCTCGTAATATGAATGACAAGAATACCTAAGGGTTGCTAAGTTGTTCCAGGCTGTGGTAGAGGGAGCTAGCTGCTACAATGTAGACAATTTCAATTCTAACATGATAAAATTAATATAAAAAGATTTTTCCTCTAAAAAGATTTTTTCCGCTAAAAAAGGGGGAATAAACTTGAAATTAGGAGAGACTGTAATTGAGAATTGGCTCAACGCCGTAGGGTTTCAAAATGTTACATCTAAATATTTTGAGAATGCGTTAAAATTGTAAATTTAAACAAACGTTTTCGCACATTTTTGTGCCAAAGCGTTTGTAACCCTGTTCATTTCTATGTGCAATTTTTTTAGAAAGAAAAAAATATGAAGGATTCTGTACACATCTCTGTACACGATTTACTGTTTCCTCATTGAAGTTAAAACCAGTTTAAAATCTAGCGCTGGTCTTCTGAGGTTTTTCGCAAAATTTACATAACGAGATAGAGGAAATTCAAAATATATATTACGAACGTTTTGTCAACTTAAATAACGTATTTACATGAAATCATCAGTGAAGTTACCAGTCGGATTATTATGATTCAGTCTAAGATGCTGTCTACAGTCCGGGATTCTTTCGATAGACCGGGGCTTTAAGATTTGGGTTTATTATCTTTTTGCCATCAGCCCCGACAATTATGTTCTGCTTCTTTTTCCTCTGTCGGAGACGTTTACTTTCATCTTGGCATATTACTCTGACACAGAATGCCAGAATTACGCTGAAAATCATACAGGAGAAAGACAAGATTGCAATCACCAAAGCGTAGTTGTCCAGTATCAGTTCCAAAACTTCCTTGAAGAAATCCAAGGCAGCTAAAACAGCGCATAATGATAAATATTAAAATTCGATGTACAAAATTAGATATAACGTATGCCTCGTAATTTAAGATACCATCATCGTAGACGCAGTTGGCCTCGTCGGAATTGTCGCCACAGTTGTCTAGCTTGTCGCATCTAAGAACTTGCGCGATGCAGTTTCCATTGTTGCAAAAGAATTCACTGCCCTCGCTGTAGCAGGAGCCTGTAATTTTTTTAAGTTCGATTTTAAATCATTCAGCCTGAGAATGCCCAGCATCCCTCACCCAGCATCCCAATTAATATAGCCCAGCATCCCTCACCCAACTCAATTAAGTAAATCAGATAAATAAATATATAAACATACTCAGTGTTATTGCCTCAATATATTCAAATTTTCATGCATAACTCTTATAAAGCGCTTAGTTCAGTATACACAAAATACGAATACACGTTTGCAAGAATACACTCGGCGAATAAAAAATGAACATAAAGTCAAATAGAATACGAAAACTGGGAGGGCTATTTTTTTTGCTATTAGGCACGGGTAGGCTATAATGGGAAAGACCTCAATGCAGATATTGAGGTGAGTTATACTAACTTCCAGTCGATTTGTAGAACGACGTGAAAGCAAGTTCGAATCCAGTACCCTCCACCGCAATGTCGGAGATGAATCGCACCAATGCGACGTCGCTGTTTTCAGTAAAGTAGTCGTAGTCATCTGTTTTGGCTACGTACAAATCCGAGCACAATCCAGTGTTGTATTCACTCGCAGTCAGAGCACGGCTCTCCAGCTTCTGCTCGAAAATTTCGACCTAAAAGGATCACTACTTTTTGTGAGATCACGGGCTAACTCCACTCAATTAGCTATGGCTTTTTGAAGATATTAATGAGATTTAAAAGTATGAGAATTTTCAGCGGAAATAATTGGAAATTGTGAAAAAGGACCTCTTTTTGTTCTATTTTTCTTCGATATTTTTCTTCGAAATCTGAATAATTCCAAATTGAATGTGGCTGTATAAAATAACAAATTTTGTGTAATTGCGTGCTTTTTGTAACTAAATTTGCAGTTTGAAGAACGTTTGATATCCGCGTTCTGAAAGAACTAGAGGAACATTCTGACATGGGCATTGAGTGGTAGATGCATGGCTATTTATTCATTTTCACTGTTTTTTTTAAAAAAAAAACTGATTAAAAGCTAAAACAAATTCTTTAGTGCTTATTTACAACCAAAATTTTTGATATAAAATAATGTCATACGTAGTCCGAATATTCTGGTTAGTATTAGTGTCAAATTGGCTTATATGTACTTGACCTTATTTTCAGAAGCTTCAAATTTTTATGCTATTTTTTAATGCTAAAGTTGCGTTTCCCAAATTGAATATGTATGGCTTATAAAACTGAGCTCGCTTTTGTTTGTTGTATTCACTATTTTGTAGCGCATTGTGTTTGTTGATCGCTGTGTTGCGAAGCTGTGCTTCACCTCTGTGTCTGATCTTGTGTTTTAATACGAGTCCGCTGTTTTCCAATCCAAATTGCACATTTCTGTGCTATTTTTCTGGTCTCGAAGAATATCATCACGGTCTCGCTCGCAAAGTTCGATGTTGCACGATAATGAAAATAGGAGTCTCTATTAGAAACCTCAGGACTTAGGCAAACGGACCGTGCTAGCCAGAAGAAGCCAAACTGGACTCGCTTCTACTCGGTCGTGTCGACGCATTGTGGACGAACCAAATCTGATCTTATGAACCTTTGAAGGCAGTGTGACTATTGAAGTAGACTGGGCTACGTGTTTTAATCTGGCTTTTGAAATTCAAGGGGGAACATGGCCAGTAACAGCTTCTGCAAATGAGCTTCGGCTTAACTGAGACAAAGCCTTTCTATCTTCTAGCAGATGTGTGACGCCGTCGTTGTTGACGGAGCTTAACAATCGGAAATTTCTTAGCTCTCTTATTACACTTGCGAGCGTATTGTGTTAGTACGGACCTTCTTTTTTTCTTACCTAACTCGCATTTAAAAATTCATTTAAAGTGTTTTCTTATTAGGTGGCACTTTTGCTACAATCACGATCTGTAGCATTGGAAGTTTCATATCATCTGTTCTCTGCTGCTGTGTTTATGGCTAGTTTTTTTTTCATTTATGAAGTGTCCGTGGGTGAGTGGTTAGTGCGTGAGACCCCTCATTTCTAAGTCGCCGAGCAAATCCGAGACATGGCAAAATTTTAAATTTTAACTAATTCGAGGCGTATTTCTACTTTTTATTTGCACTTTATGCAGGTGCTTTTAGTTCTCGCTAGTGTTTGCGAAGCGAAGTTTCGACTGTGTTAATATTCATGATAAATATATCAATTGAACATTTCCTGTGTAAATCAAACACTCCTAGATCAACCTCTGATGTACATCCTAACAATTTTTGATACTAATTTTTAATATTGCCAAAGAGAAAAACGAGAAACGGCTTTTATATCTATCTCTTTGGCTTTAAAATAGTAGAAATCAAAGCCTTAGATTGCTCACATAATCGCCGCATGTTCCACTCCACGGCCACTTGTCGGGAACGTCGAATCGGACGAATTTGAATCCGACGTACGACTTGAAGTCGGAGTACTGCTGCGAAGTGGGCAGTTTATTCGCCTGTACCAGAATCGTGCTGTTTAAATCCTTGGGGTATTTGGTCTTCTTAGCCCCGACGTAGATTGTTCCCCCGTACTCATCATCCACGTTTAGAAGCCGATCTCGAGCTGTAGAGATGTCAACTGAAGTAAAAAAAAACCCACTCGTCTGCTTGTGGTCTCTAGGTTTGAAATATAATTTAGTTTGAATACAAAAATGCAACTTTACACTTAATTAAAAATCTTTGAAATAATGAATTTTTAATTTGTTATTTCTAAAATTCTCAAATACTGATACAACCAGGGTGACCACTTGGTCACTGTTTTAGTGACCAGTCACTATTGGTCACTATTTTTTCAATGGTCACTAAAAGTCACTATTTACAACGGTTTTTGGTGACGGACTCTAAAATTTTTCTAAAGGCGCCTTTGGCGCCAATATATACAATATTCAGGGGGAGCGCGCACCGAAAAAACGTATTTTTTTTTCAAAATTTTTCAAAAAGTGCCTAAAACTGACTTTTTCAGCCTGTTTATTGAAAATTATGCCTACGGCGCAGAAACTTTGACCAAAACAGGGACTTTTTAGTTCTTTGGCAGAGCTTGAAAAATTAATTTGGCGGGCCTAAAAAAAGGTCGACAAAAAATTCGAAAGTTGTCATAGTCACCATTTTTCTCTCAAAAAAGTGGTCACCCTGTATACAACAACCCACAGATAGCAAACTTCAGTGCAAGGACGCTTGTTGGACAGAGAGTAGAAATTCAACCTCGAGCGCAGTCATGTAAATTTGCGCAGCTGATTACTTCGAATATTTTTTTAAGTGCTTGTTACATTACGAAGCTATATTTTTTCAAAAGAGGTTATTTAATTCATATCTATCCTTGCGTAATCGACGTTCTAAATCTACTTACTTCTTTTGTACTTCTCTGCACAAGTCGAAATAATATACAGGGCTAAAAAGACTAGCGTGCAGCAATCTTTCCGAAAGTTCACCATTTCTTAAGCGTAAGTTTCTAAATTTTGGATATTATTTTTAATTTGTTTTCAGAAGTATTTCCATGGTTTCTGCGCAACTTAAGCGTGATTAATTATTAAACTATAGTGGCAGATGATTACCACATAAGATTTGGTCAGCGCTTATTGAATTTTTCATGAAATTTTTTCTCAAACTTGCAGGTGGTCTCGAAAATCGTGTTGGAAGAATTTTTTTTCCATAATATGAAAATGCTCACACTGTTCTTGGTTTCACTTTTGAAGCGTTTAATTATTCATACATCTTGCAAAATTTTGTCCTGACTACTAGTTGTACTATAAAATTGAACAGGGAAGCTCATTTTCGGTTTCTACGCTCAAACTGATTTGGAAAAAGTTTTTTTTTCAGCTTTAACTAAAACTGTTTGTAAATACATGAAATAAATTAGTTTTTAAACAATTTTAGTGCGCAAGTTAAGTTTCGAAGCAAGTGCATTTATTTGTCTTCTATCAATTTTAACGTTTTGATTTTTTCGTTCCTCATTTGCGAAGAACTTCTCCAACTGAGACGGCTGTTGTCGACGTTTGGATAATGGAATAATCGGCTGGAATCTTGCTACTTCGGTTTGCTTAAAGTGGCCCCCTGGATGATGCAGTTGGTGTCTGATGATTTTGTTAGGAGGTGTCACTCTCGTGGCAACCTGAAGTGAAAGGTGGAGGTCAACTTCGGAAAGATTTTTTGTCTATATAGGCTGGGATGGTGTGAAATTTTACCCTTTAAGCGACAAATAAGGGTAAAAATGTTAAATAACGGCAAAAAAATGAAATAAGTGGATAAAGGTTCTGTTTTTTTTTTATTTTTGTTATTATACTTATATTTTTTGAGTTGTTTTTGGTCAATTTTTTGAAAGTTCTCTGGTATTTTTAGAACCAAAATTACTACTTCAAATTTTGATTGATGTCGATAAGTTTAATTTAGCACCAATATCAATTTCAAAATAATTCGCTCTCCAGAGAACCAGCAGAGTTATCAAACGTATCTTCTCGATCTAATCATCAATATAGTCTAAAAAGTGATATTCTCAAACGAAGTTTTCTCGACACAATATAAATGTTTGTGATAAGTTTCAGCAGTTGGAGTTGCGATTGAAAGAAATTGATGTATAAAGAAGGTACATAATTTTTGTGAATCCTGATTTTTTTGGAAAAAGAAAGCAACCAAATTCATCTTTCTTCCCGCCTTCTTTTCTAGGAGCTGTTTTGACATTTAGAATGGCAAAGTATTGACATTTAGAATGGCTAGCCGGATGATTAAGTAATGCTTGTTTTATGAATTACTAAATAGGCGACTAATTTTCACTTTTGATGTGATCTGAGAAAGCTTTGAAAATCATGACATCTCTCGAAAAGATTGTGAACATGGCAATATTGTACAAACCATTGTAGATGGGCGAGCTGGTGCCAAGTCACTGGCTTCGCTCAAAAAGTCTGGACAGTTAATCAGGTAGTTTCTAACAACAGTATTGCAGTCCCAGCTTAAGTGACCATCCTTGTTACTTATAACTGTAATCCCATGAGTAGCTCGTGGAACTACAAAATGCTGTAAGGTTACATCGGGATCATCAGTTTGAGTACTCATAGAAGTAACCAAGGAATCCGTATCGTCCAAGGCTCTGGAAGTCTTCGGAGTCCTGGGGTGTTTTGGCTCCATAGGCATTACTTCTTTTGGTGTTGAAGGGAATCTGCCAAATCGGGATCTCGTCTTTTGACTCAAGTATTGATTCAATAACCGTTTTCTTTCTAAATCTTTTTCAAATATCTCCATTGAGGATAAAACTCGGTTTCTGCGCACTTTGTTGATTTTGGAAACAAAGAAGTTGTTAAGAAGGTCATCTGTATCAATTTCCTGATCGGTTGGAAGGGAAGGCTTGGTGTAGCGTGAAAAGTGACCAAGTGAATTTGAAGACATAGTTGATTTGTAGTCTGTTAAGTCTAAATTGTCAATTGAATAAAGAATTTCTGCTTCATCATTGCGTTTTCGTGATTTGCGATGTTCGGTTTTAGTTCGCCGACTTGAATTCGATATCACGCGGTTGGTATCCGGTTCTCGAGATTTGGATATCCGGTAATGTTCTATGGAGTACAGATCTTTTTTATGGTCCGGGAAATCGTTATCTTTTTGAGCCATAGTTAAGCTCTGTCCAACTGACTGTGCTAATTGTGAAAATTCTGTGGTCATTTTCTGTCCAACCGAGAGAAAAAATGCTTTGAACAAAGATTTTAGTGTAGTAATTCGACCAGAAAATAAATCCACCTCGTCAAGTTAAACCTTTTAGTAGTAGCTGGAGCTAAAATGTATAAAATAATTTAAGTGCTCGTCCCCGTCTGTTTTAACTGAGATTTGTTATAGCTGCACTTCAGAAAAAGCACTAGATAAAACATTGCTTTCAATTGAAAGAGATGTAATTTAAGCGCAGTTTAGCTGTTTGAGTTGGAAGTATATCAGAATGTTCTATCAATCATATGAGTTTTTAATTTGATGTAGCTTCGCACCTTCTGTTTTCGACCGACAGCTCAATAGAAGTAATGATCCATTTTAAGTGAAAATCTTCAGGTTAGTTCTGAAGCAGCCCTAAAAATGTACATTCAAAGGTAAGTTAATAGGCATTTTTATCGTGATGTCGATATAGTCAACGCAATAAAAGTTTCAAAAACACGTTTTGTGGTTTTTTTGCGGTATCAGCAATCGTTGTTGGACATATCTCTTAGTCTTTTTTTTTTCGCGCGGTTATTACAGTTCAAATTTTATTCTCAAGAGATGCTCTCTTTATTTTTTTAAAAATCGTATTTAAAATTGCTGGCCCCAAAAAACTAGAAGGTTCCCCTCTGTAAATATGGGGCTACGTCTTTGATATTTTTTGATTTTTTATTGATATCAATAATATATTAATATATCAATAATATAATACTAAAATTTTCTCCCTAAAATATTTTGTTCACAGGACTCATCTCCTGAATCCTGGACTCGTCTTAGCTTCCTTTATTATTAATTCAATCAACCATCTGGCGTGGAGGTAACTCATCTGCTTGAAACGGCAAAGGCTTGTGGTTCTCATCCGATCGGTACCTTTTTTGCAAGCTTGAGTTTTTCTGCTTTTTCGGGCTTTGGTCCATCTGTTTCGTTTTGTCGGCTTCGTGCCCGTATCCCAATCTTCTTGAAGGTTCAACTTTTTTTATCACTCTTATTCTTGGCAACAAAGCTCGGGAGTTTGATTCTAGTCGGGACATGGATCTTGCAAACTGAAAATTTTCGGCCCATTAGATTTTTGTTTGTCTGCTTATTTTTGCGGGCTCAGTTCCAGCAGAAAGGACTATTTTGAAAGGTCGGCTTCTTTCCAGCATTCCGGAAGCTTCTTGTTAAGTTTTTCATGGTGCAGTTAATTTGTTTCGGACTTTTTTTGGCTTTTCTGCAATGTTTTTGACAATAAAGGTTTTTGGTTTTTTTTTGATTTTCTATTTTTTCATTTCATTTTAATCTTAGCTATTCATTTTGTAGCGCAAGTGGTGCGAAGCTCAGCTTCGGCTCTGTTTTTAAATGATTATATTATGTTATAAGACGAGCACCTAATTTTTTCAACCTAACTCGCTTGAACTAGTTCGCAACTTTTGTGCTCAATTTCATCAGCGAGCAATTAATTAAGTACACGTGCTTTATCTGCTTTATTATGATTGTTTTATAGTGCTGGGTTCTTGCTAAAAGATAGTTTGTAATTTCTATACGTCAGCTAGGGTATTTAGCTCGTTCAGGACGATGCATGCTTCCTTATTTGGAGGTACCTAATTTGAATTTCGTAATTGGATAATTTTCGTTATTGTTTTGGCTGAGTGGTCAAGTTCTTTAGTAAAATGATGCCAGAAAGTGGGCTTGATCCAGGCAATCGCAGAGTTTGCAGAGTAATGTTCTTTTCCGCTTAACTCTCGTTAAATCTTTCTTGTCCCTTTTTGCCGTTTTTGATGCTGGTTTTTTCGAACTGCAGCTTCGCCTCTATGTAATTTTTTGTCCTTCAAAATGCTCCCAGTTTTTTTGATGCAGTGAAAAGTTTGTTTTGTAGATGAAATTTGACTGATTTGCACCTATCGTATTTTGAAATTTATTGATTACAAATTATGAGGCTTTTTGTATTGAGGCGTGTCGGTACCCTGATAATAGCTTGCGAAAAGGATCTCACACGTGATTCTTGCTCTAGGTGTACCGCTGCCTGTAGCAGTTGTTGTCAATAATTTTTTATATAGCTAAATATCACTGCTGGAAACAATCAATGATCGCAAATTGGGCAAAAAAATTAAATTCAGTTATTGCAATTTCATTCTCACAAAGCTAGCATTCTTTGTTCACTATAAAAAAAAATGCGTTCCAAGTTTACTGGAAAAGCAGTTTTCTCCGTGGCTTCCAATCAGTTTTAAAATACGTTCCAGATTATCTGGCGTTCATTGTAAGCAATTTTTTTTGACAGCGCATGATCTTACGGCAATTTTCTGCGGAACATTTTGCTCGTCACCAATTTTTCGATAGTTCTATCATTTTACATACGGAAGCAAGTGTGTTGTAATCGGCAACCAGACTTTTGCCATTAAACATTTTTTCTTACTGTTAGAACTAGTCAAATCTGGGAAGATAACTTCATTGTCATTTCTGAGCATGCATGATTTTAATTTTCCTTCGGTTCGAATTATGTGTTTATGTTGGTTGGAAGCCATCTCGACTTTTCAGATTTTTCTTGTTCTTTGTTTTCATTTAAACTGTGTATTCGGTTTCAAAGTTGCGACTTATCTTAATTCGATTTTTTTTCGCGTCAAATCGGTTCTTTTGAAGGGCTGTGGTAATATTTATCTCGTGTGTGCGCAAGGTGTATTAGAATCATAAAAACTTCAACTTCGATTTTCGAAGTTTTTTTGTAATCCAAAATTTTCTGATATTTTTTTTGGATTATTGGGCGTCTACTCAAGTTTTGGTGACACAGTTACCGATTCATGAATGTTGTTTCAATGCCTGTTTTATGCTTTAAATTGCTAGACGTGTTTTTTATCAAATGAACTTCATTCGAGACAAGCAGTAAATTTTGAGAGACTCTTTGTCTGGCCTCTGCGAAAAAATTCTTTTGTTTTTTTTTGTGTTAGTAATTGTGGTACTGTGTAGTACTGTTGCCACAGTAACCTTGGAGAACACATGGGATACCAGAATTGACACACATGGGATACCAGAATCGATCAAAACGGATCAGTTTTCAGGATTTAAAGGAAAAGCAATGAAAAAATTTTGCACAGAAAATAATATTTCTCAAAAATTCTGTCCAGTCGGTGATCATCGAGGATGTGGCTTGGTCGAACGCACAATACAAACTATTAAACGAAGATTGGGTGTAATGCTTCTCGAGGAAAATGTACAGTCGATTAAGCTGTGTCTGAGCACAATAATTAGGGATTTAAGATGGAACAAACAGAAAACGATCAAATTGTCACCATTTGAGGCGCATTTCGGTCGATTGCCAAAAACGGAATTTAAAATTGTAAGAGATAAATTTCTTAATGATTCTGATCGTTTAGATAAAGAACATTTGGAAAGATCGGCGTTAACAGCTTAGCAGTTGAAGAGACGCATTGATCAATCGAGAGACAAATTTGTAAAATCATCCGAAAAGGCCAAAATAGTCGGGACGTCAGCCCACTATTTTTGCGTAATACTACGGCAGCTAAAGAAAGGGCCAGAGCAAAGGAACTGAAGCAGCTACTAGAGGCCAATGCGCGATAAATCCCGAACTGAGAAAAGAACTACTATATTCAGGGGAGCGAGGATAAACAGCATACAGTGACTGACAATTTTTCGGGTAACTTCCTTCGCAAACACGAACAGAAAAAAAGTGGAAAAGCCCTAACAATACCTCTAAAAGGGAAAGTTGTATCGGAGACACCTTCGACAGTAAAAACGGCTGCTGGTGCAGTTTATCGGAAGAGCGACATAGCGAGATCAAAACTGCCTGTACAGCCCAGAATAGAAGGTTCGGAGAAAAAGAGAAGCCCAACAGGGGAAGAACCAAGAAGTAAACAACAAGAGACAGTAACACAGGATGAAGACGGTGACAGTGAGTCGGCCGAAGAACATGACGTAAAAGATCAGGGGCCAAGAGACCAGGAAATAGAAGACAGTTGGTTGGTGGACAAGTTTCAAAATTCGCTTAGCATAGTAACGTCGAAAGATACTAAGACGGGCGGGGGCATTAACCTAGGAGGGAAAAAAATAAGCCAAATCGAGCGGGACCGTTCGTACATAACCCGAGAAGCTATCAGAGCAAGTCCACAACGCAAGAACCGAGGAAACCAAAAGCTGCCAAAACAGCAACAAAAGAATCTAAAAAGCGGGATACAAGCAATGAAGAAGTCTACATTGAGTCGTCTGCTCCTAAGGAAGCATCAGTGAGTAAACTCATTACCCGACAAACCGAAGAAAAAGAAATTCTGGACACATTCCAGAATAAGAACATGACATCTAAAGAATGGGAGGCACTCACAAATCAGGTCTTGACCAGAGGGGGACAAAAAGAAGCGGAAAAATTACTAACTCAACAAGCAGGACCAGTCGATACTAGTCCCCCACCTGGGTTTTCTGACGAGTCGGACAAAGAAGAGGAGGAAACGACAGTTAGGAGGAGTAACAGACAAACGAAGAACCAGGGGCCAAAGAGATATGGTAGCCCAGTATCCCATTCGGTCAAACTTATTAGTTGTGAGGACGACGTCACGGAGATAAATTTGGCAGCACTAGAGGCCTACAGAACGAGATTAGCGAATTTAAATCTCAACAACAAAGAAAGAACGCCGGAAAACAACACGTTCAACCTACTAGAAAGACACCTATTCAAACGAAAATTTGGGGCTGCATCGTTGGACGATTCCGGTCGTGGAATGCTGCTAGAAACAAAGCGGAAGTAAAGAAAAACAAAGGATACTGAGTCAAACACTAAACAACTTAGTAAACTGAGATACAAACTCATATATTGATTATAAAATTTTATAAGGTATTATATAAAATTTTGTTGTCTTCAGGGGAATGTGGTACTGTGTAGTACTGTTGCCACAGTAACCTTGGAGAATAAGTGGTATTAATATTCTGTTATGTATTGTTATTATTGTTCAAGGCCATCCATGCAGGCCGAACGCAACAGTCATTTGGACGTTGCTATCTGAAAGAGATATGAAAAGATAAACATGATCTCTAAACAAAAACCAAGTTTCACAAAGAGTTAAATTACAATTTATTACTCTTCTGTTTTATCATTAACTAACACCCATAGCATAGGATTACCACAGTAATATAAAGCTGCAGATCTTTTGCTGTCGTTTCTGTATTATTATATTTTGCTATCAGTCAGGGCAATGCAACGGGGAACAAACCGCAGCTGTTTTATAGACAGCAGAATCGTTAAGTTTTATCTTCTTCAAATTTCCATCTACTGGTTTTTTCACATAGATCTAATCTTGGCTATGTGTTTATACTGAACAGCTGCATCGATTATTAGATGTATTTAAGGGCGGATTTATGGGATCTAGGGATTCGACCTCCTGCCGACCCAAAGGGTCCCCCTATGTACTATTTTCATATATCCATTTTTGGCGGACCCTAAAAATTTTCTAGAGGCGCAAGGCTTTGAGGGGGAAGCGCAATCCAATATTTACAAAATTTTGTTCTTCAAAATTTTGCCTGCGGTGCAGAAAATTTGGCCAATTTTGTGCTTTAGGAGAGCTCGGAAAATCAATTTGGTTGACCTAAAAAAAGGTAGACAAATTTTTTGAAAAAAAAACTTGCCCACCTCTTGAGACAACTCTAGATCTGCCCCTGGCTGTTTTAAATATACACAATAGTTTCATCGATTAAATTTTTGTTTTTGATTGATGGTCCTTTGGACTTTTGTTTAATTTGACGTAGATGGTCTATTTTGCGGTTTGCTTGTCTAAATGAAATCACTGTTGTTTGCATTATTCTAGTTTGTGGTCACTTCTAATATCAAATTAAAACTCATTTTGTGAAAATTCAGATCTGTTTCTGGTTGTCCATTCTTGAGGCAAGTTCGAAACTCAAGATGCTTGCTCGCAGAATTTCAACGAAATTTCCGAAAAATGTGGCCAAAAACAGTACACGATTGTATGCATCCGGATCAAGAATCTCACCTGGACTAAAATTATCAGCCTCTACTATTAAGAGAAAGAACGAGAGGTCGTTTTATGGCGAGGCAAGCGGTAAAACAGGAGGAAGCAAAGGAAGCGAAGTTGTCCCCAAGAAAGTGACGATTCGAGATATTGACGCTAAATACAGAAGCAAAACTCCTATTGTTATGATAACAGCTTATGATATTGTTACTTCGAGGTTTGTGGCTGAAATCGAATTAAGTTTCATCGATATGTCAAATATCCGAAAAATCAAAAAGTATTGCAAACATCCGAAAAACAGCTTAACTAGGGCCAACATCCAACATTTTCAAAAAGCAGGGTAAAAATCCGATCTTTATCGTGCGCTTAAAAGATGCTGTAGTGGTTAAAGCGTGAAATTTTTAGATCGCAGGAGGTCGTAGGCTCGAATCCGAGAGGTAGCTGAATTTTTACTAATTCGAGGCTTATTTCTACTTTTTCTTATTGAACTTTATAGAGCTGCTTTTGCCGTGTTTTCGCTGTTTTGCGAAGCGCAGCTGCGTCTCTGTGTTGAAAATTAGAGCCGGTTTTCGCCGCAAAGCGTCGAAGAGCGCGTACCGGCGACCTTAAACCGAGAGTCGGCTAAATTGGAATCCGATAATTAAACTTTTTTTTACACAAGCTAGCTCCAGAGCGTAGACAAAAAATGAAGAAAACAAAATTTTCTTAGAATTTCATTAGAATTAAAATGATGCAATTTATTGTTCAAAATTCGCAGCCAAAATTTTTCCCAAAAAATGGGTCATGTTGACTTTTTTTAATCAAGAATTACGCTGAAACTACCGAGTTAATTGATGAGAAAGTTGTTCAAAATTACTAATACAGAAGTTTTATACAGCTCAAAAATTACAAAAGAAGTTTTTATACAGCTCAACAAAGTTTTAGGTTGGTAAAACTTCCAAAATCTGTATAAGAGAGTATATTCTTCGTTGATAGCGAAAAAAAGTCATTTTTACAATAAAAAAAAGAAATTTTTTGCTTTACAACAAATTTCAAAATTCTATGCAATTTTTTGAAGTTTTTTTATTAAATTTTGATAGATTGTATATGAGGCTTCTGTTGAGCGTTATTCTTAACTAATTAAAACAGCCAAAATGACCCATTTTTGGGGTAAATTTTTGGTTAAGAATTTCAAAAAAAATGCATCAGATTATATCTGGATAAATTCTAAGAAATCTTAACACAATTTGAGAAAAACGCATTAAAATTTCAAACTTCGTTTGTTTTGTCCAGATCAGAACGGTATAATCATGATCCGTAGCATTGGAAATTTCATACCATCTGTTCTCTGCTTTATTTTGGCTAGTGTTTGTTAATTCGAGGCATATTTCTACTTTTTCGGATTTTTTTGTAGAGCTGCTTTTTCGTCGTGTTCTCGCAAGTGTTAGCGAAGTACAGCTTTGCCTCTGTTGAATTTCTTGCGTCTTCTTTTTACATAAATATTTTAAGTTTCTGATGTTTGACATAGCGGATGTTGGCCATATGGGATATTTACCCTAGACTCTTTATCTCAATATGACCACCAGAGCCGAATTTTTAAATTTGATGTGGGCTGTTTTTGAAATCAATCAACCAACAAACATTGTATTTTGTCACTATAGTGTGAGCAAACGCAGTTTTTTTGAGAAAATTTGTCAAACTGCCGCTTTTGAATGCTTCTTGATAGATTTGGCCGATAAAAACCCTAAATTCGCTACTGATAATAGCAGGTTTCACACAATTTTTCTGCTTTCAAATTTAGCATTTTGTTTTTGTAACGCACTGATCTTAGAATTAGTGTAATAGCGAATATTAGCGCATGAAGAAGCGTTAAGACAAAAATAAGTGCTGAAAAATTAGGTGATATCTTTAGCAGTAAAAAGACCTGTTCTTCTTGGTAAATTCTTAGCCTTGACGCAAACTAATTAGATATCTTGCGTGCGCTGTTGTGTTGCAGGTGTGCGCATATGGCTGAAGTGGACATGATTCTGGTGGGAGACAGTGTGGGCATGGTAGTCTATGGAGACCCAGGTCTAGTCTAGATATCCTTCCTTCTAGAACATTCTCCTAGAACATTCCACCACTGGATGTTCAAGGCCTAGCCTAGCCTAACTATGAGGCACAGTTTTCCCCCACTCAAAAACGTACAGACAAACAGGGTATCTGCTGCCTAAGCAATTAGGAGCAGTTACCATATAAAGATTTGACAAAACAAAAACTAGTCCAACGACTAATAAGCTGGCATTGATTAAGGATCTCGATCTAGTGGCTAATCGCCCTTGTTGCAATAGAGGCATAAGAAATAGAAATAAAGTTTTCATCTAAAATGAGTTTTAATCAAGATTATCATTGCTAAGCGATTAAATTAAAAGCTAATCTGTAAAAAATAGTCGGTCTAGAAAGCAATTTCATAAATTCCGAATAATACGCAATAAAAACTATTGGGGGTATTCTGGGTTTGTTTTGGTGCAATTAAGTAATTAATGGCTATCAAATAATCGAGTCTGTTCAAAACAGTCCCATACAAAAGATTCCAATACAAAACGGTGCGGAAAAAACAGCCCCGAGTGACAAAACAGTCCGGAAAAAACATCCCTACAAAACTCCGATTCAAAACAGTCCGAAGTGATAATGGTTTTTAAAAGCCGGTAGGTTTTGAAAAATGATGCTTAGTTCAAAAGTCGAAAATTGTCTAAATAAAAAACACCATCCCAAGCTTAAATATGCCGCACTTTCTTCGAAAGTCGGAACAAAAACATAAAATAGTGACCGCCGCAGTCGCGCCAACGTGTCGCGAGCTTTCCAATTAGAGCCGGTTATCGCCACGAAGCGACCCTAAACCCGTGACCTTAAACCGGAATGTTTTGTATCGGACTGTTTTTTTGTTCGTTTCATGATTTTTTGGACTGTTTTGCATTGTACTGTTTTGTATATGAACCCAAAAAAATAAGACTGAATTGATTTTAATGAATTGTTCTTAAAGACATTTTACCACAATATCTCTAATTTTATTTTCATATTTTGATCACGACCGAATTTTAATGGAAGCAGATTTTAAATCTTGTTATAAAGCGACTTGTGAAATCCTTTTCCTTCATCAATTTTAAAGCGTTACTGTGCACCAATAAAAAGAATTCGATTTCAAGGCTGGGAGATTTTTTTTGACGGAAATTTAAATAGAAACTAGAAAAGAGAAAACAAAGCAAAGTTTTTTTTTGGGTAAAACAAAGCGATTAAAGAAGCAACTACCAAACTCAGTATTTTAAAATTGTGAATGTCTTTAAATTAACTTCGGCTCATCTGTATGAATTATGGGTTTGAGAATCGACGAACCGTTTCAACTACATGCTATGTGCCAATGGCAAATTGAGGGTCGATAATTTAGCCCCAAAGACCCTAAAACGGAAGAGGAAAAATTAAACGATACTAAAAAAATTGATTTGTTTTGCATTGTTCATAATTTTGGCCAAGTATAGACTTGGTTTGGCACAAAAAGTTAAGAAATAGTATGAAAATGTATAAACGTGTGGGGAAAAACTGTATGGCGGCGTACTGCCATCTACAGGTACGAATGGAGTCACTATTGAGGACATGATTAGACACTGCAAAGCAGTCACCAATGTCACCACTCACCGAAGATTCACCCCCTTCATTGTGGGAGACATGCCATTCTCAGCATACCTTACGCCTAAGGTCACATTCATAATTATTATTCAGTTTTAAAAAATGGATAAATTCGATTTTTTGTTTTCTCCTTTTTGTTTATCCATTAATTATTGAGGTTATTGAGACATCGTATAATATTATCGATAACAGCCTGACCTGAGTGAATGCTACCGAATTGTGCTAACTCTCCAAAGATTTTTTAAAAAACCGCTTCAAATAAATTTGAGTTTTTTTTTTCATTATTATTATTTTTTCAAATATAAACAATTTCTAATATAAACAAGGTAGACCTCAAGTAGGAGTGCAATGCGTCTTTAGTCTTTCCTTTCCAATTTCATGTACTGAATTGATTGGTTCGATATCAATTGTTTGTAACTAGTTGAAAATAAATAGATGATTGTTGTTTGTTTCTACATGATTTTGGATAAATAAATTCTTCTTCAAAAAAAAACGAGAATAAACGGTTGCTTTGCAAATTGCACAGAGGGTTCCGATCATAGGTTATGTTTTTTTATAGGACGCAGTTAAGAATGCGGCCCGTCTGGTGTCTGAAGGGTTAGTTGATGCTGTGAAGATGGAGGGAGGAAGGAGGATTGAGCCCATGCTCAGAGCTGTTCTGAGGGCGGGAATACCTGTCATGGGCCATGTGGGTCTCACCCCTCAGACTGCTGCGTCAATGGGAGGTAATTTAATAGAAACGTTGAGTAGTAGCGATGGGGAAGTGGCTAGCGTCTCAGCCTCCCAGTCGAAAGGCCGTTGGTTTGAAGCCCACCATGAACCGAGGTTGAATAATTTTGAATTCAAACGCGTTTACCTCAAATTGGGTTGAGGTTGAACAAAAAGTGAAGAGAGCAAAAGTTGTTTAGATTTTCACCTGAATTATAAATTTATTTTGCGAGATTCTATTCAGAAGCAAAATTTTACCCCCAAAATGGGTCATTTTTGCGTTTTTTCTAGTTACTCAAAAATTACGCGGAAACTATCACGTTTCCTGATGAGAAAATATCAGAAGAAGCCTCTCACACAGCCCAGCAAAGTTTTAAGTCTCCAAAAATTGTTTAAATATTAGTTTTAAGCAAAGGTTTTGAGTTTTATATAGTAAAAATGATTTTTTTTGGCTAGCCAAGAAAAAATATATTCTCTTATACAGATTCACGCTTTAGAGAATTCGCCGTTCTAAATTTTTGTTTGGATGTGTAAGAGGTTTCTTTTGATATATTATTCAGTATGAAATTTAGTATATTATTATGGGACTGGTAAAAATGAAGCATTTTCCCCTAATTTAGCCTCAAATTGACTTAGTATATTTTTGCTTGCTTTTTTTCACCGTTTTTTGATCAAAAAATGATAAAAAGTCAGTTTCAGGCTAAATTATGTGAAAATGCTTCGTTTTTGCCATTCCTATAATAATATACTGAGTTTTCTAGTAACTGTGTCCCTTTTTTGTCATAAAAATTTAATTTTCATCATTTAACTGTGAAGAGAACAAAATCTACTATATATTTAAATGCGGGCTTCACCATCTCGCCACGTTTAAGCTTTATCAACCTATTATTTTGCATGTTTAATGAAAGAATTTTTTCACGCTCAAGCTATATCGTGTATTGCAATGATTAAGATTTTTTTTAATTTTCCAATTTGAATTTAGTGTTTATTCCACCGAGTTGCAAATAAGCTACACAATAGTGGGATGCTGTCAGGAATGCTTGCGAAATTGGCATCCAAATGTGAATGCCCAAATCCGTTAATTTTCAGAAAGCTCGAATTTAAAAAAAACTTCAAAATTTGAAGTTCCCAACTCTGTAGTTGAGGGCTGTCAGAGTAATCTCAGGGGTTGCGAATCTTGCCTTCAAAAATGACTGCTCAAATCTTTGTAGTTTTCGAGATATGACGTTTTTATTATTTCTTTTTCATTTTTCGGAAAATTAGATAATTTCAAAAGATTTCAAATTCCCAGCGTTGTAGTTCGGTACTTTGAGGGTACCCTCAGAGGTTCCAAGTTGCAAATTTTGCGTCCATATGCGACTGCTCAATTGCTCTTACTTTTCGAGATGTGACGTTTGTTATGTTTTTTAAAAATTGTTGAAAGAACTTATATATGAAAAATTTCACAAAATTTGAAGTTTCTGTCTCCATAATGAGGATCTGTTAGGGCTTTCTCAAGGGGTACAAATTTCGCTTCCAAATATGACTGCACAAATTTTTGTAGATTTTGAGACATGACTTTTTTGTGATTTTTTCAAAAAACAAAATCGGAAAACTTGAATTTGAAAAATTTTCCGAAATTTGAAATTCCAACTCTTTAGCTCGGGGCTGCCAAAGTATTCTGAGTGGTCGCGAGTCTTGCCTACAAATATGACTGCTCAAATTTTTGTAGTTATTGAGATATGACGTATATAGTTTTTCAAAAAAAATTTTAGAAAATTTAAATGGGAAGTTTCAGAGTTTGAAATTCCCAATCCTGTAGTTGGGTATTGTGAGAGTAGTCTCTAGAGTGACAAATCTTGCGTCCAAATGCGACCGTCCATTTGCTTTTAGTTTCCGAGTCGGATTTTTATGTAATTTTAAAATTTAAAAAAATAGATAGAAAAATTGAGAAATGTTTTTCCAAATTTTGAATTAAAAAAAAAAACTTTACAAAATTTTACATACCAACCCTATAATTGGGTGCTGACAGAGTACACTCAAAGGATGCGGATCAAAAAATCGAAGCACCGGAAGTGCGTTACACGCTAGTTATTTTTCTTAAAATGCCAAATCCGCTTTCAATTGTTTAAATCCTTCTTTTTGCAATTTTCTAGCTTGATAAAACTTTCGAGATATCAGCCCTGCCCCTGTAAGTAAAATCAGTCCAATTTTTTAAAAAAATTTTCAGTTTCATTTATAATTTAGGGGGGTATAACCGAAAAGACCCGTCTTTTTTTGGAGTTTTTTGCTGTTTGGATTTTAGTTTCTTTTTAATTTAGATTAATTTGATAAATGGAAGATAAATAAAACTCTCTCTAATAAGAAAAGTGTAGCTGGGGCGTAAAAATTTTGCATGAAAAATAGTTAATTGGAAAAAGATTCTTGAACTTCGAAGAGCTTCAATGTGATATGTTTCGAAATCTAAAATTGTTCAAGAAATGCCAAATCATTTTTTTGCGGTTACCTTGAGTGCATCGACATTTTTAAAATTATCTCTTGGCTATGTTTCAATAAGCCCAATGTCATACTGGATTACTTGTAAAGTATGCTCTCGCAGTGATTGGCAGTTCGCACTCGGAACTTCGTCACTAAACCTTTGAACTTTTTCGCAGGAATGAAGTTGCAGGGTAACTCAGCAGAAGCGGCCTACGACATCTACGAGAACGCGACTCACTTGGCTGATTCGGGCTGCTTCTCTGTAGTTTTGGAGGCCATCCCTCACAAGGTTGCCACACACATCACGCAGAGTTTGGATGTTCCTACTATTGGTGAGAAACACGGATCTCTTTAACAATCCCCCACCCCTATTGCATTAGAGGGATTCGGTATACAATTTTCAGCATATTCTATGTTTAACCATTTGATTAGTCCATTATAGGAGTGGAATATTCATCAGGGGCGGGTGTGTTAATAGACCCAATACTATACCCGTAATTCGTTTTGTGATGGATACAGCACTGGATTGATAAATTGGCTCCAATAATTTTAAGTTATTTTGTCTTTTTTTTGACGCAGCTTCTAAGTAAGTTGATAAGTCATCCGATGCAATCTTGTCTTGTTGGACTCGGATTTATTACAAGCAAACTACCTGGGACTTTAAATTGCCCTCAACGCTTTGAGATTTTTCATTAACTCAGGGATTTTTTTATTGTTGCAGGAATCGGGGCTGGTCCTGGATGTTCTGGACAGGTACAGGTGTTCCACGATATTGCAGGCATGTTCCACCGCTTTGTGCCCAAGTTCTCCAAAAGATTCGCTCTCGTGGGTCGACAGCTGGAGGCGGCAGTCGAGTCATACAGAGATGAGGTGATGAGAATATTGAGTATCTGAATAATAAGCTGATTATCCAATGTTTTTGCAAGGCGTTGTACGAAAATTAGTTATTTCATGGGACAATTTACTTGCTTGTTGATTCGCATAGCTCAAGATCAAATTTTTTTATTAATTGATTTTGATTTTTTGAAACCCAGTCGAAATCGTGAAAATACTTTTTCTATTCGTTGAATGTTTTGCTTGCCAATTTGCCATTACGAGGCCAAAGTGCATTTTGTGAATTGTAAGCGGATTCCGCAACAGGCCGAAAGCAGATTTGTCGCGGAATCCGCAACATCGCTACTTTTCTTTGATCTTCTTTGCTGTTTTGGGTTCCACGAACAAATAGCTAAAACACTGTACACTCAAAATTGATCCAAAAATAGGGGACTTGGTCTAAAACTTCTATCAATTATTGGCTTTCCTATGACCACTTGGCATCTGTTCGAACTTATTGCACTGTCTGGAATGTGGGGAGATAATACAAATGGACTATCCTCGACAGGACTGTTAAGGCCTACTGATAGCTCCTCTGCGATTCGCAGGAACTACAATTATTATATATTTTGAAAGCAGCTTCTGTTGATAGGTAACCCTGGGAGCCTTTCCGATGAAACACAATTCATTTGCGATTTCCCAGATGCAGTTTAAAAAGTACCTGCTAAAGACAGAAGGTGAACAAGAGTCACCAGAAGACGAATCCAACTCGACAAGAACTACTTCAGAAAACCCCGTAAACGGCAGTAATGGTATTTGTGTCGGCAACTCAATTGTGAGTGCACAACGGAAGAAGAATTTGAAGATATCGGTAATTGGAGCCGGTGCTATGGGTTCTCTGGTTGCGGGAAAGTTGGTTAAACATGGAGGTTATGATGTGACGTTGATATCATCTTGGGAAGAACACGTCAAAACAATCAGCCAATCAGGTTGGTAATCCTCGAGTTAGTTCATTTCAAGTGTGACTGCGGGTATAGCTCAAAAATTTAGCGGAGGCTGTTTTTTTGGTAGATGTCAAAAAGACCAAAATGGTAAGTTTTCCATTGAATGGTGACTATACAAAGAAAAGATCTAAGACTATACTAAGAAAAGATCCGAAAGAGTTCAGCAGAGATCCATAAATTATTTCATCATTGTGAGATGGAGTGTTAGTGAACTATAACGATGGAAGTCAACGATGTCTGAAACTAATTTTTATCTTGAAATTCTGGAGTTTTCAATAATTTGTTTCGCATCTCATAAAACGTTGTTCAGTTAGTGTGTTACTTGCATTGATGGCCTTTTTTTCCTTACAGGACTGCTGATTAAAGCCCTTGTCAATGATGGGATTGTGGAAGGCGAACTGATCAAAGCGTCCGCTGCAAAGTCTTTCCCCAAGGAAGAGCCGGCTGGTACGTTTTGTTATTTTTCAGCAATAGATACATAATGGGACATCTGAAGTATGATCAACTTAAACGTGAAACGTTTTCTCAATAGTATTTTCTTACATTGATTTAGGACCCAAAGTGCATGCTTGTCTGTCATGAACTCACAGTCTGTTTTCATGTTACCTTTAATTAAGAGGCTCAAATTTGATTTTTATCCGGTTTCCTTTGTGATTTCTTTTTAAGTTAGTTCATTTTCTTTGTTAAAAGGAATGCAAACTCCACTATCGAACAGTAAAGGTCACCAAAAACGTTATAATCTTTTTTTGAAAGTAGATTTCTGATCGGAATTTTTTATTGACTTGATGGTTTTCCTGAAAGTTCTACTGCTCGACAAAACGAAAATCTGGATGGTAAAATTGAAAATTTCTTAGCTAAAACGGCTACTAGTGGTTGAGAATCAAAGCTTATATTGTTTGAGCATGCTAAAAAGTAGTTATTGCACAAACGAAGCGTAGTATACTACGATTCAACTTTTTTTCTAACCCAAGTCGCAATTATTTGTGCAACTTTGGCGGCTTATTTGTTTTCACAAAAGTGGTGGAAAAACCAAACGCCCTTTGTGATGAAAATTCCCTGTGTGCCGCATATTCTGCTAGTCTCCTCTTCGGCTTTCGACGGTTTTCTAAATTTACTGTAGTGGAATTTTTGATACCTTTTTTGAAGTTTTTCCAGCAATCACCCAGTATCATCTGAGGCGACGAGTTCAATCAAAAGAAGAAGGAACATATGGGATCTGGATCCCCCTGCATAAGCTGATACGCTTTTGTTTTAGCTGACAAAGCGTTATGGCCTCAGAAAATGTCCGTGTTTAAAATTTTGAACGGGTCGGAAATTTTTTAATTGTCGAAAACTTTTCTGCCAAATATTGGACCGCCCAATTGGATCTGTCCAATCATAAGAACCGCTATTTGGAATCCTCCCTGCATAAGCAGATACAATCTAATTTAGTAGAAAAAGTTGTAGCCATTAAAGTTGTCTAATTTTGTCTAAGTTGACCTTTTTTCGGAAGCTTGATTTTCTCGAAGACTATCCTGCCAAATCTGAAAATGTTCAATCGAAGGATTCAAGCAAAGGAACAGGTGCTTGGAGTTTCTGCCCTAATTAAATTAGAAAAGCAATATTAAATTTTAAAGTCCATATGCTCAAATTTTTTGGTTTTCTCGAACTACGGTGCAAAATCTGAAATTTATTATTCAATCAAAGAACAAAATCTAATGGTATCACCTGTATAAACAAATTCTCCTAATTTTTGTAAGTTATCCTCTTTAAACTAAAGATTTTGTTGAAGTATTCATCCATTTCTTAGACTTCATTTAATTACTCAAAAGCGACGGTGCTAATAGTGATATTAGGAAATCAGATGGATTGCGACGTTTACTTGATCTTCCCCTCTAAAGTGTTTTCTCCGAACTTAGGACAAGCAAACAGCTATTGGCTTGGTGAATGTCCAATTTTTGACATTTCGACGCATTTTGAAAAGTTACGCTATACTTTTCGCATCTGTACATTTATTAGACAATTTTTACAGCTTTACCCGGACCCTTAATTTATTTTCAAGCATTGTCAGATTGTGAAACTCCTTATCGGCAGGTCGGAGGTTTAATTCCGGCAAAGTTTTTTCTACATGATTATGTTTACCTGTTGTTTTTCTTTATATCACTTCGTTAATGCTTTTTAAGAGCTTTTTTGCCGTTTTCTCGCTTGTTTGCGAAGTGCAGCTTGAGTTTTTTGGAATTGAACTGTCTGGGGTAGGCTTTGCTTTCAAAATGGTTTTATGTTGTGGACCTTAGAGGTTTCGCAATAACTGACAAGAGCCTGCACATGTCGAAAGGGGCGAGTTGTTTATGATGCTGGAGCGTAATAATATCAATAAGAACTTTCTAGAAGGAGTGCTGCGTGTAACTTCTCCATTCCACACCCTCTTCAATCCTCCAAAAAGAGAAATAGAAGGGGGAGACGAATATGTGAGTGCAGACGTAGTGTTCATCCTGACCAAAGGTCACAGCACGAGGAGTGCGGCCAGGACTGCTGCCACTATCATCGGACCTGGTTCCCTTGTGGTCACACTGCAAAACGGAATGGGACATGCAGAAAGAATAAGGGTACTAATCTTCAATCCATTCTCTCTGGCTATAGCGCTTTTACTGGGAAAACTTACTACTTCAGGGCTTTATAATCGCTTTTTGGCCGTATTTGCTTGGCTAAATAGCTAGCTCTGTAGAATATTTTCGGCAAGGTATTGATTTTTAACTGTTTCATATGTGCTTGGAAAGACACTTTGGTCGGACGAAAAACGCAGATATAATTTTGTAATAAACCAGCCCCTCAGCGTAAAGCTATATCCGCATCAGCAATTGAACTTTTTGCGCCCAAATTTTTGACACTTAAAAGCGGGTAGCCACTGTAAACTATAGGTACTTGTATTTTAGGAGGAAATAGGAGATATGGCAACCATTATTGAGGGAACCATATCACATGGGGCGTTGTTAGAGGGACCAGGTGCTGTATTCCACACTGGACTGGGATCCACAATCATAGGCAGCAGCAAAGCGCAGAACTTCGTGCCATCATCTGCAACTAGACTCGTATCAGAGATTCTGAATAAAGGTAATCATGACTTTATGCAGTCATATGTGTCAGTCATATTTATTATCACAGGATTGGAAAAGTAATTTTTCTGGGTAAGATCTGGCATAGGTTTTAGATCCGGGCGTTTTTTTTGCCTGGTGGCTCTTTTTCACTATCCTGAAATAATTATTGACATGTTATGTACGCATCTTTCAAAAATTCAACTCACAGCGTTGAAAATGGATCGAGTATCCAGCATAATAAAACATTTAACTCGATATAATTTTCTCTAAACGAGTTAATGTTTTCAAAATAGTGCCAACCATAAACTGCTCTTAAAGTTTAAAGAGCTTTACGGCCGTGTGTTTTGTTTTGATGTTTGAAAAGGGCCGTTTTTTTTGTTTAGTTGCGTTCATTGACTCTTTTCCAACTTTCATGAAGTTTGATCTTTTGCGGGGTTTGACTTTTGATTTCGGTTTAAGTTGAATTCCAATTCATTTGCTTAAAGAAAGGCAAATTTTGCTCTCCAATTATCAAAGCGGCAATGGCGCGAAAAAACGTGGACGAATTTAGTTCTAGCAGTGAGCGGCCGTGGCCGAGTGAGTACGACGCGCGTCTCCGAACACAATGGTCGATCGTTCGAATACGTCTTGGGTCGCGGTCGGTGGTTTGCCAATGCCATCCGCCTCCTCATGGTGGTAATAACTACGGTAAAATGGATGAACTTTCACCTCACCTAGGAAGGCACTGCAGTGGGTAGAGCTGAAGGCTAAAAACTACTTCCTTTTTCGAAAGTGGGTTTTGATTTTTAGATTTTCCAGAGGAATCAAAATTTACCTTTGATTCATTTTTCTCAAATTGGATTACGTTTATCAAAAAGGTGTCAAGCATCAATTGTTCTTGAAATTCGAAGATTTTTAAGGCCATAGTTTTTTCTTTGAAGTTCGAAAGTATAAGGTTTTTCCAAAAACAAATTAAAGTTTTACCACGAAGATTTATTGTTCTTTTTTTGTCCTAGATAAGCAAGCAAACAAAATAAGTTTTTTTGTCCTAGATGAGCGTATAATTAAACTGGCGTCAGCATAGTGTTTTAGGAAGAACCTTCTTTTTTCTAAGCTAACTCGCAAATAAAAGTGTTCACTTATTTGGTAATTTCACTGTAGCATTGGAAATTGCATAGCATCTGTTCTGTCTTATTTTTGACTACTTAATCTTCTAGTTACTATGAAGCTACCGTGGCTGAGTGGTTTGTGTGCATGACTCAAAATCTTACGATCGCAGATACGATACTCAGGCGTAGCCGAGTTTTTGCTAATTCGAGGCTTGTTTCTACTTTTTTATTGCACTTTATAAAGCTGCTTTTTGTTGTGTTCTCGCTAGTGTCTGTGAAGCGAAGATTCGCCTGTGTTGAATCAAGTTATTTGACTGCTGACGCTTTTTTGTGGAATGATAACCGGATTCTTGATTTTTTTCCAGCTGGGTTCGAAACAGTCATCGCCGATAATCCCGGAAAATTGATGGAATCACAGTGGATGAAGCTAGCTGTAAACTCCACTATCAACCCGCTGACTGCAGTTTTGGGGGTGAAAAATGGCGACCTCATTGGCAGCCCAGACATACAAGACATATCTACGAAACTGGCGCAGGAGTTTATGGCGGTGGTGAAGGCGAGAAATGGCTTCTCCTTTCCACTTGATAATGTAGATGAGGTTTTGAAAGTGGTGTTTGATGTGGCGAATAAAACAAAGCTGAACACTTCGTCAATGTTGTCAGATCTGAACAGGTAAAAATAATGAATTTATAAAGTGATGCTTCAATGAATCGTGTTGTTTAGGTTAAAGTAACCTACTTTATAAATAGTTTACTTTATAAATAGGTTCACATAGAAACAGACATTTATATAATCAGACAATGCAACTTCCGGATTGCGGTAAATTTTGGCCTGAATTTTTGATTGGCGTCATTGAAAATGAAATTTCTCTGAGAAACTCAACTGTTCAAGTTAAATTTTACTTAAGTTTCTTTCGAATAAGTATGTTCACCTGACGTTTTTGCTGTTTACTAGAATGTTTATATTTAAGTAATCGCCACTGCTAAAACGTCTATAACCAGGGGTGTGAAGTATCGTATCGACGATAGATGTTTTGGTGTCGATAGATTATCGCGATACATTGAACTCCTCGATAGATTATCCGATAATCGCGATTATCGGAATCCTATATCCTATCCTATATATTAATTGAATGACAGAAAAATTAATGCCATGTTTTAGCTGACATAAGGCGCAATGGTTAAGGGCTATCGAGCGCAAGGTTTAACAATTTATTTTTTATTTCGGCTTAGATATTCTCTAAAATATCGTAAAAAATCGTTAAATATTGTAAACAATTGTTATGCATCGTAAATTAAATATCGTAAAATATCAAGTTTCCAGTCGATAGACTATCACGATACTTAAAAGCTTTATTTCGACATATCGGATATGCGATTATCGATTTCCCACCCGTGTCTATAACTAATAATCACCAACTTTCTGCTTATAGATGCGTGCAAACTGAAATCGACTACCTCAACGGATTTCTAGTTCGCGAGGGAAGACGACTCAACATTCCAGTCTCGTGCAACGAGACACTGACTAGTCTAGTGAAGGCATTCGAGAGCTCAATTAAACTGAAGAAGAAACTGGAAGAGGATACAGTTGATTATCCAGAGTCGTGCTGTGAGGTCAAGTCGCACCACCAGACTATGCTGGTCAAGTCCATTCCACAGTTCAGATCGGTGTCCAGTAATTTCGCCAAATCTGGTTAGTCCATTTGCAAGTCAAAACTGAACTATTTTTCAAGCATTGAAAAGCCTGTGATGGCTGAATAAAACGTGTCTGATTATACGTGAATCTTGTTAACACAAGCAATGCTTGTGTTATAGTATGAACTATCTTTTTTTTTCAATCTAAGCCGCAAATATTGTTGCGATAAAATGTGTTCATTTTGAAAGCGTTCATTTTGATCAATAACCAGCGATTAAGTACAGCTAATGCTAAGGATATTAACACAGATTATTATTGTTCCGACTTTCGTATCGAAAGTAGCGGAATATCTGTGCTCGAGGTGATTTTTTTTCAGACAAATTTCGACTCTTTAACTAGCCATTTTTGGCGGGTTTTGTTATATCATTCGAAAAAGATTGTTGACCTGCATTACGAGGCCAAACTGTGCATTCTCTGCATTGTAAGCGGAATCTGCAACAGGCCGAAATCAGATTTGTCGCGGAAACCGCAACTGTAAGTGGAATCCGCAAATTGTAAGTGGAATCCGCATTTTGTTTGCGGATTCCCTTGACATATATTTATATGTGTGGTAGCCTTTAAAATTATACCTTTTAAATACACGATTTGATTTCACTAGAATAGAAATTTACTAGAATAGATCAGTGTTTGGGACTAATGGAATCCCAATTACTGACCAGTATTTGGGATCGATGGAATCCCAAATATTGACCTAAGTTGGCGATATGCTGTGTGTTGTGTTTCCATACACTCTCAACCTAATGACTACAATTAATGCATTTATTCGGCGTTATGCTTCCAAACTCAGTATTTAGGATTGACGCAATCCCACATACTGACCTAATTTGTCGATATGCTGTGTGTTCCATACACTCTCAACTCAATGACTCCAAATATTGAAATTGTTCGGTGTTGTGTTTCCAAAATACTAAAAGATGACATCCACCGATTTAGGTAACCACTGTTTTAAGACTTGTTCGTGGATTCCGCTGACAATGGTTAAGTCTTTGCTTTTAAATTCCGCATTGCAAGAGATAATAATTCCATCTCAGCTTTAAATTGTTCATATGCAAGTTCAGTATTGAACAAAATTCGGAAACCACTTACAGTTTGAGGAATCCACTTACATTTGCGGATTCCGCTTACATTTTGCGGAATTCACTTACTGTTGCGGAATCCAGAACAACTAGCTATATTTGCAACAAAACAAATGTGCCGACAAAATTTACGTTACAGGTATATGTATGCGGAATCCACTGAAATTTTGTTTGTGGAATCCACTTATATTTTGGAACATATTTTAAGACTTGTCTCTGGAATTCAGGAACATACAGACACAAAAATCTGCTCCGATCCAGTGCACAGTTTGGCCTCGTAATGTGAGCTTAAATTTGGAAAGATATTTCAGCTGTGATCATTTTTCGTAAAGTTATAGGGGTTTAAAAGTTGCGATTTTGGCCAATTTGGGACAATGATCGCTATGAACGCGTAAGCAGAGTTTTAATCTGTCATAGAAATCGTTCCAAATTGGTTGAAGGAACTTTTTTTGCCGTAATCGATTTGTTACTAGAAGCGAAGCTTATCACTTTGTACTTAATATGGCGTGTGGCGGGATGATTTTCACAAAAACTCAAATAAAAAAAATCATTTTGTATTTTTCTTACATTTAAATTTTTCATGTTTTTACTGCTCCATAGACTGCTCTATAAATTGAGGCCTGTTAGATGGTAATTTTTTTAAATCAAATTTACTGGTACTGCTAATGCGTCATAATTGGTGTGCGTCACTTAAGAAATTTTGTAGACTCAAAGTTTTACTCGTTCAGTTTTTCCCAGTAGCGTGATCGGTCATATTTTTGCTTGTGTATGCGAAGTGCTATTCATATGGATGGTCTACTGTTCGCATCAATCAGTGATTTTCAGGCGGAATTATTATCTGAACCGTTTATTTTTTTTTTCACGAATAGCCAACATTGCCGGTCAAATTGTATATCAAAATTTTTAAAAGTAACTCATTTTCAAGTTTTGAAAACAAATTCATACCAGGCTTACGTTCTGCAACCATTCGTGAAAGTCTTCTCGATAAGTTGAATTTGGGCTATTTTCAGGTAAGAAGGTGGGATTTGTGCCGACGATGGGAGGTCTTCATGAAGGTCATCTGACTCTAATCAGAGAGTGCAAGAGGAAGTGCGACGTCACAGTCGTGTCCATATTCGTCAATCCACTCCAGTTCGCCCCTCACGAAGACTATGACTCATACCCGAGAGATCTGACTCGTGACTTTGAATTGCTGCAGGTAGGGCCATGTTCAATTGTTAGTAGCCACTTGTTCGTCCCATCCTGTTTTCGCGAAATGATTCAAATATTCTCATTTGTTCTAAAAAGTACTTTTCATGAAGTCAAGATCGAAATCTGTTTTCACTAAATATAGTCTTCCGTATCACCATATGTTTTTATGATCGATTCCATTTTTTCTTGGAAGTTGAATTTTATAACAATTTGCTGTAGCAGTTTACGAGTTGATTTCATTGGTAAGATCTTGTGATATACACTACCCCACGCCGGCACGACCTATGATGATAAGTAGCCATTAGCTTGCCCATCTGTTACGTCTAAAATTATACCATCAACCCTTATCTATAATGAAAGAATCAGCGGTTAATCGAACACTAACATTAAACTTGCTAACGGAACCCCTTTCGCTATAGGGGAATCTCCTAATGCATCATGTTGCTGTTTCGAAACATCTTAAATTATTAAGAGTAATGAACGCAGTGAAGGCTCTTATAAAGGTCTTGCTGATTTTTTTTCGCAGAAAAAGTCTTAAAAGTCCAATAATTACAGATATGCATTTATATATATTGATGCATTGATGAATGCACTTAATGCACTTAGGTTTATATGCACTTTTTGAGTTCAATTGAAATTCATCTGCTGAAAGTGGCGTAAATAGCACTCTCCAAATACGAACGTGGAAAAGGTGCAAAAAAAACGTGAACCATTTCTTGTTTCGAAAGTGGAATTTAATTTTTAGTTTTCCTGCGGAATAAAAGCTTTACCTATTAATCCAGTTTTTTCAAATTGGGTTAATTTCAACAAAAAAATTGTCCATCATAAATTGCTCTACAAATTCAAAGAGCTTTAAGGTAATCTAATGTTTTATTCGAAATTCAAAAGTTGAAGATTTTTGAAAAGTCGATTTTTTTTTCAGTTTCCAGGCGTTCTGTACTCTTTTCCAACTGTCAGTTGGCTATGTTTGTTTGAATTGGTTGGCTTGACGACGTTCTTGTTCGCAGGCAGAAAAGGTAGACTTCATTTTTGCCCCCGAAGCATCTGAACTGGTTGCCAATTCCCAAGAAGTCAGTTTGATTGTCAAATCTTCCGATTGCAAACCAGAAGGCGCGAGCCGGCCACATTTTTTCCACGGCGTTGCCACAATAGTGTTGAAACTATTCAATATTGTAAAACCAGATGTGGCTTATTTTGGGCAAAAAGACGCACAACAATGTTCAACAATAAAACAGATGGCGGCTGACTTGAACGTGGATTGCGACATTGAGATTTGCGACACGGTTAGGGAAGCGGACGGTGTGGCGATGAGCACGAGGAACAGTTACCTGTCACAAGAAGAGAGGAAAGTGGCCCCTGTGATTTACAAATCGCTTCAGGCAGCCGAGAATTTAGTCAAACAGGGTCAACATGACGTCTCAGCTTTGAAACAAGTTTGTATTCATACTCGTCATTATTACAAGCAAAACATGTTAATAGACATTGGGGATAAAAATACTCCTTGCCCTGTTTTGAGTTCTAAAGCTAGGGTGTGCATGATAGTATGACATACAGTTACTAGTAAATGAGAACGATTTAAAAATGAGAATTTTCATTTTGTATTTTTGTTCACTACTTTTTGTGACATATCTTGAAAATTCTAACCATTTCTGATGCACTGAGTTTAATTGTGTTTGCATATAAGTTTTTAAATAGTTTTCAATTATGATGTACGTAAATGATGTTTCGTTTCAGGCTATCGAGCATAGCCTCTCGTTGGAACCCATGTTCAATCTGTCCTACATTGCAATCAGTGATAATTACTCTATGGAAGAAGTAGAAGAGCTAGGTCACAGTCTGGACAGAGAAGGTGTATGTATTTCAATTGCGGGCAAACTGGGAAAGACAAGACTAATTGACAACATTGTGATCCAGTCTGCGAAATTATGAACCTGAGTTTAAACTTCAGCATCACTTCGAGCTTTGTTGTATTTCAGTTTTGACGCTTCTAGCTCGAACTCTTGAATATCAAGGACTGTAAATGCAATCTACTTAATTTAATTCAAAAAATGGAACGACATAAAAATGGTTGTATTTGTTCATTAAGGGAAATTGAAATCCTTGATAAATCGTTTTTGATATACTGAATATATTCAACAAATTTGAAAATACCCATTGGTTTAAAACTGGCGGGAACAATCTGAAGCTGGCATGAACTTAAGAGGCTAAAAAGCATTTACATTAGTGTTCGCGCATGACCATTTATATCGCTTGCGATTAGCAAGTATGTGAAAGCAGAGTATAGATTGTATTTTTTCCGGGTAAACAACTTTTTGGTTTTTCTTTTCTCAAAAACTACCCTGCCAATTCTCAAGTTAATTGTTCACTTGAGAATCCCAGTACCTGGAGTTTTTTCTGGTAAAGCGACCACATTTTGCGTTTGCGAAAAAAGTAGTGGAAATTGGAAAGCCGTGTTTTTGAACTTTTGACCGTTTTTTGAATTTCTGATTTTCTTTATCAGATCTGAGATGAAGGCTTCCATTGAAAAAAATGGATGCAAAATTTTGTTATGCTGAAGCAACGACTCCTCATTTTTTGATAAATTTTTTTTAAAAAAAGTTTACTTATTTTAGTAGAGAAATAAGGCTTTGGGCAAAGTTCAAATTTTGAAATTACCCATTGCATCCTGCATGAGTATGACAAATTCAAAAATAGCAAACACGCAATTTCACTTAAGCACCCAGTTATTTAATTCGAGGTATACGAAAATTTTGGTTCATCTAATTCTTTTGAAATGTTTTCTTTTTACCTATGTTTTTTATGTTTGAGTTGTATTTAAATGCTCAACAGTTTCGTTTTCGGATCTGAACGAATTTGATCAAGTTTTGTCGGCTCAGTTCCTGCTCTTTAATTGTTTTTGAATTTTTTGCAAGCCTGCTTCGTCATACAAGTGTGTCACTTTTTACTTCGAAAGTTGATTATTTTGGGGCGAAGTTGGCAGTTTTCCGCTTTTTAGAAATAGAGCGTAGAGTAATACTGCGATGCCACTTTTTCCGAATTAAATTGCAAATTAAAGCTCTCATTTGGTGGTATTTTGACAAACTTCAAACAATAGCCAATTTAATAGCATCTGTTGCTGCGTTGTTGGTTGCTTGTTAGAGCTCCTGTTTGAAAAATACAGGTATTTTTAAAATTGATGTGATTTGGTTTTATACTCAGTTTTTGAGATGCTTGTTAAAAAGTTTCTATTTAACAATTTCTACCAATAGCCTTACTGGCGACTGACCTGCATAATTGTTTGGCTATTTTCACCTTACTCAAAGTTTTTAAACCATGGTTCTTGATATTTTCAATGGGTTATTTTTTGACGCAACTACCCTGCCAAACTAAGATTAAGTATTTGAACTAAAAAACATTTTATGGGCATCTACACTGTGCGAGCGACTACATTATGTTTGTAAAAAAAGTCCAGGTTTTGACATAGTGGTTGTTTTCTGAGAATCTTCGATTTTTCTCGAAAAGTACCCTATAAAATCTGAGATTGAGGGTTCAATAGAAAGAGCTGGAAATAATTTGCGGCGTAAGAGCATAAAAGACTACATCTTTATTTTTTAAAACAAAAATTGCCTCGACAAGCTCCATGTTTTTGACAATTGTCGTTTTTGTAAGCTTTTCTCAAAAATTACCCTCCCAAATCTCGGATTAAAAGTTTAATTGAAGAACAGGTTGTGTTATTCTCCTCTGCATAATCTGATTGGCTTTAATGGCTTAAAAGTTTGAAATTAGTCCCCTTTCTTACAGTAGCGATCAAATAAAACTAACTCGCAAATAAAAATGTTCTTTCACTTGAAGCATTGGAAATTGCAATGCATCTGATCTCTGCTTTAATTGTGGCTAGCGTTCGGCAACTATTAAGCTTCCTTGGCTGAGTGGTTTGTGAGTGTGACTGTTAATGGCTAGGTCGCAGGTTCAGACGTAGCCAAATTTCTACTAATTCGTTTCTTCTTTCTAATTTTTCTTATTGACCTTATAGTGTTGCTTTTTGTCGTATTCTCGATGGTGTTTGCGATGCGAACCTTCGACTCTGTGAGGAAACTTTGTTTTTCTATCAAAAACAACTCTGCCAAATCTAAAATTGCAATTTTAATCAACGGAACAGATCATGGGAATTTTACCTTCATAATTAATTAGAGCCTATAATTTGTAGAAAAAATGTTATGGCCTCTGGGAAGGGTCGCTTTTTGAAATTTTGATAAGTTTTTTTTAGAACTTTTTACTTTTTCTCGAAAACTACCCTGCCAAACGTTTGATTACTACTTTAGTCCAAAAACAGATTGTGGGAGTCTCCCCTGCATAGGCAGCATCTTCTTATTTTTTGTAGTAAAACTTTCCTGTTGTACGAAATGGACTCTTACGTTTCTGTCCATTTTAGTGGAATGTTTGGACTAACAAATTTATTCTCCGAAATCAGATAATGACGAACTGGATCAGATAATGACAAAATTTTGATCACAAAATGTCACAAATTTTATTCGTGATTGTATAGAATTTTTTTTCGGGTATTGGCAAATAATTGGGTGGAATCCCTCATACGCGAGGGACCGGATGCGCGAAAATAAAAATCAGCCAATCAGTTTTCAGTGATCTAAAAGTAGGAAAAAAGTAAACATTTCCAGGGACTGATATTTATATTGGCCGAATATAAAAACGGCAAAAACATGCAAAATTTTCATATTATCACTGACGGCCGCCGAATTGGAACAGTTTATATATTTCAATTTTAACTTTAATTGAATGGCAATGCTTCTTTAAAAAAAATTGTTTTTCGGCTAGTTTTGTTGACAGTCCTTCGCTCACCAGTTTTTTCGCCCATTCGGTTTTTCGCGCATGAGAATAGCCCCCAATAATTGCTTGCATTAAATTAGAAGATTTTTTTTCGGATCAGCACCACGATCCCCCCCTGAATGTTCTTCCGAAGCATGGATCAATTTTGAAAATTATTTCTGCATACAGTATTCATTTCAAACAAACGCGCTGAATATGCTGCTGAAGAAAATCTTTATACCAAAAAGCTGTTTATCCTGTTAACAGCGTAAAATATATATCATAACGTGGTATCAATTGATTTTTTTGATTAATTGGATCAAATTACTTAGCCCTGGAAGTCATTTCTGAAAAACCGGTATTTCATCCCACCTAAATTTTTTATTCTCTTTTTTTTTACCTTATTGCGCTCTAATTATATGATAAATTTTTCTTCCTTTTGGCAATTTAGCACAAAATATCTCGTTTATTGTTGGCTTTGATGAGCGGAATTTTGTTGTGGCACAGTTGTGAACACTTTAGAAAGAAAAGCTGTGGGTTGACGGTTTGGATACCTTAGGTACCATTTTTTGTCGCTTTTCAACGCCTCACTCTTTTCTCCCAACATTTCAAAGTTCGTTTTTCCGACTTTTGCTTGCATTTGCCTCTGTGTTTCAAAGTGAAATATAATTTCGAAGCGATCATTTTTTCTGATCTGTAACAAATTAAAGAAAACTACTAGTTGGAAAATCCTTTATGTTGAAAATTAACCGCTTCTATTTACAGCATAATGTTACCCGATCAACAGTTGAGGTTTTCTACCGAAAGTTACAAAAGTTGATGTTGTAAATCCGATTGCACTTTATGCCAAAATTTAGCAAAAATGGCAAATTATCAAAAATGGCAAAAAATGGCATAAATGGAAAATTTTTTAAAATTGAAAAGCACATTAACTTCGAGAGTTTCATTATTCTCCAATTTATTAAAAATCATACCCGAATGATCAAAATTTCGCTTTTCTCAGGTCATGATCAGTCAATTTGTTTTCAATTTTGACAGTCTTAAAAGTGGTAAAATTGGCGACAGAACAAGTTAATCGATGCATCAGAGAAACAAAAAGAAGCAGTCGATCAATAAATCGAAAAAAGCATCATTCAGTTACGTAATTATATGAGTTGAAGACTGAGATTTATACAATATGACAATTATTTTCCCAAATTAAAAAATGAAAATTTTAAGAAATTTCATTACATGCAAACCTGAGTCGCAAATACATGTGCTCTTTCGGTGTAATTCAATTTAATCTTTTTGATGCCTAAATAAGCCTGGGGAAATTAATAACATATAATGCTTTTTTTGGCTAATGCTAGTTCCTGTTTGAAAAAAAAATTATTATGAAAATTTATGGCGTTTTTTTTTGCTTTTTGCTGATTTTTGGAAAAATCTTCAGAAGACTCTTCGGAAAATTTTGCATTTTTTTGAAGAAGTTTTAGTTTTTCATAAAAACTACCATAAACATTTAAAAAAAAAACAATACCAATTGATAAAAAACAACTCTTCTATGTGCCTGCATAATTTGGCTTGTCTCTTTTTATTTATATCTTACGATTTACGGCCTTCGAAAGTTGCAGGAAAAAAAGTTTCGTCCGGAATTTTTCATTTTCTCAACATTTGACCCCGCAAAACTGAAATTGAGTATTCAATTTTAAAAAAAAATTCATGGGGATCTTGCCTTCATATGCGGCTATTTCCGACCCTTGGCAGAGCCTCAAACTAGTCCATTTTTTGCCTTTTTGGTAAATTTTTCTCTGTGGCCAAATCCAAGATTAAGCATTCAATTATAACAAATTGAGAGCAATTTTCTTTGCCTAAAAATTTTCGTCATTTTTCTTATAAAAACAAGTCATGACATTAGAAAATGCATATTTTTTAAAATTCGACCGTTTTTTGGAAACTTTCGCTTTCTTCAAAAACTTTTTGTGAAATCTACGATTACATCTGAAATTTATTTTAAAAAACTGGCAGTTATGCCAATCTTTTTGTGCAAGCGGCTCTGCCCTGAGTTTTGCAGAAAAAATTAAAACCTTAGAAAATTTCCAATTTTTTAATTTTGCCCGTTTTTGGAATAATTTTCTACCTATCAAAAATCAAACTGATAATTCTGAGGTTGATGGTTCATTAAAATTAATATGGTGCTTAAATTTTCCCTGTTCAAACTTTTTCAGCCTATTTTTGTGGAGAAAAGCTGGTATGGACTGCAGAAATATCCATTTTTTTGAAATTTTCTTCATTTTTTATAAATTGCTTCACTATTCTCGAAAACTACAATTCTCAAAAACTATGTGCTAAAACTGATATGAAGTTCAATCGAAAAATGAAAAAATTTTTCATGTCATTCTTTTCGGCCTAAAAAAATGTTCCTATGCTTAAATGAACAAAAAAAAACTTTGGATACTTTTTGGAAAGGTTTTCAATTTTTTGAAAACTGAGTATCCAAACATGTTAATAGGAAATCAATTGAAAGAGCAAGTGGTATTCATCTCCCATAAATTCATCCCCTATTTAGGCTGAGAAAACACTATAGTTTTGCAATAAGTCTATTATTTTGAAATTTTGAAAATTGCGCATTTCCGTATCAGTACAATATTCGATTGAAACTATTAAAACAGGTGCAGTGAGCATTACCTGGGCGACTGTTTTTTTTTTCAAGCAACAACGGCGTAATTGCGAGGTGGTGCAACTCCTAGTCTACAGGTCGGGGATTCGGATTCGGGTTATTCAAACAGCTTTATTTTTATTTGCTTGAATTTTTGCTGCATAGCATTGGCATTTTGATAGCAACGAAAGCTGTTTTAAGAGTCGATGAACGTCTTTAAACGCATTTTGTAACATGAAGGCCGTCTCCATCACGATTGCAGAGCAAAAGTGTAAAACTATTTTTAATTTCAAAAGTGAGTTTGTATGATCAAATTTTTCAATTAAATGAAAATTTTCTCAATTAAAAAAATTTTTTACCTATTGTTACAGTTTTCTCAACGTGGGTTAGTTTTACCAAAAATTGTCAATCAAAAAATGTTATTAAAATTCAGACTTTCAAGTTTGTCTATTTTTTTCTTGAAATTCGAAAATTGAGATTTTTTCGAATTATATTTAGGCTTTTAGAGCCTTTTTTTGCAATTTGGTTGTTTGTGGTTGCACTTCTGATTGAGATTTTTCGAATTCTTATCGCAATTTGGTCGCTTGTGTTTCGTCTCCGTTTGAAATTTTTTATGAAAATTTAGGAAGTGTAATTTCAAAGAAACTAATTTAAAATTATCTTTTTTATGAGAGGTGACGTCCCTTGTGATGCAGACCGAATGATCAAAAGCTAATTTCAGCCAATCAGAATAGTATTCAAAAACTCAAAAAAATTGCGAGTAGTTTCAATGAGAGCAAATAAATCCAGGCTAATGAAATTAATTTGATCGATGACAAAATAAGCAGTCAAAAGTTTTTTCAAATATTGTCAAGACGCATTGCATTTGAAACAATACTTAAATGATGATTTGATTTGATATCTGCACGAATTGTTCCGCAAAATTTTGCTGTACTGCTTCAAAATTGTTTTCTGCTAATTTTAAATTTGATTTTGTGCGATTAGCTGAAATTTTGATGAACTGCTAACGACTCTAACATGATTCCACAATTGATATAATAAAATAGTATTTCGATTTTGTAATCTGGTGATTTACCGACACATTGGTTCTCTGAACGCACCCCCAGACATTAGTGTGCAAATTAAAATGTACGACCGAGTTTTCTGCGCCATTCAGCACATCCACAATTAGCTTCTTCTGTGATCTAATTAACAGTCCCCTGTTACACAGAAATGGGGGGTCGCTTCCAGGATTGTTCATCTACGATTAACTTTTGAATCATTCTTTTGTAGGGGCGGAGGTTTCTATTTTCTATGTACCCTGGGCTAAAAAACAAATCCCTCTGACTTTTTCAAGCTACCAAGGGTCAACAATTGCAACTATTCAGGGACATTTAAGAGTCCCCGTGAAATTCATCAGGTAAAATGGTTACATAGAATGTTTTGAAAATATTCACTTAACTTAATCCACGTCAGGTGCGCAGGGAATTATAATGAATGAAATGAGCCTTTACAGCAGAAAAAATCAACCGAATTGGCCAATATGTAGTCATTTTTTTCTAAAAGAGATTAATTTTGAATCTATGAAGAATTCAGTTACCAGTTGCACGCAAATCAATCCAGCTATGTAAAATAAATTCATCTTAAAACTGTTCAATGGCTTACTTTACCGATATGGCAGGTAAGATTCAAAAAATTGACAAAGCCAGAGTTTATTACCAAAACTTTGGAAATATTTGAATTACTCCGTAGATTGCTGAGGATGGAGCCGGATCAAAATTATAGGAACGAGCTCCTGGATATCAGGATTTGGCTCTCCAACGCACATTTGTGCATTTGTGCTTTTAAACTTACGGGTTTACAGTTTTCACCATGCTTCAGAGACCAAAATTAACCAAAATTTGAATAAAATCGAACAACTGCGGCGATTTTGTCTGGAAAACAAAAGTCCGGGATGCAAATGTCTGTGCTCCGTTTGATTGTATGAAACTTAAGTACTTGGTTGTGTTCTATCACCCAGTCTGAAAATGGTTTGGACTAAAAATAGAACACAATTTGTACAACTCAACTCAGTGATGTGCATCTCTGTTGAGATGGGATAAGGGGAGGGGTTAAACGGCCTCTCTGGAAATCAACACAGCTGAAAGTGATTTTTCGTATATTAAGAGCCAGATACTGTTTTTGAGATCGGCTAAGTTTAACTTGCACTCTCTTTATTGTGTACGCGGGGACTAACTGTTATAAAAGGATCTCAATAAAATATACGCGTTATTTCAGTACCCAAACCACCCCCCACCGCCTACACCAAATCTAGAGATGACCCCTCCAAGCAGCGATTCATCCAGCAGGGGGACGTCAGGCTACCCAAGGGCAGCTCACACCAGGCTAGTAAGGACCAAATCCGTATGTTTTGCTCGGAGTGTTTTGAAATTGTTCAGCTTTTTAGCTAGCAAATTTTTGAACTTTCGAGTTTTTTTCTCGAGGAGATAATAATGAATGATAATAATAAATAATGTAGTTCCTGCGAATCGCAGAGGATCTATCAGTAGGCCTTAACAGTCCATTTGTATTATCTCCCCACATTCCAGATTGTGTTATTTTGTTGAGCGAAGCTCTTTTTTGCGACTCAAGGCCGTTTTTGGTACCACTATTGCAGCCGAAATTGGCCAGGCTGTGGTAGACCTAGAGGTCAAGTGAGAGCTCGTCCTCACACACTTGCATTGCCTTGGCATGGGATCGAATACACGATCTGACGATTTCGAAGTTAACTATTTCAAAGTGAACGATTTCAATTAACTTTGAGATGATTCATTGGAACAAAAAACAGCACGCTTGAACTTGCCTTGTCACTGCCCATAATGAAAACTTAACCATTTTTATTTTTTGTATCAAGACTCAATAAGGATCTTCATGAGTTCGAGTGGTGAAGCATTAAAAAGACTTGAATAGTGTTTTTCGAATGCATTTATTAAATAGTTTTTTTTTCGAAAATTGTAACAGACTCGGTCTCATTCGACAGATCAGAAGTTGTTGCTGTAATTTGGTTCTAAATTCGGTGAAAAATTAATTGCTTGATTTGTGTATGTATAGGCCCAGAGCACCCGAGAGAGGATTGTGATGGCCAAGTTGGCGAAAGATCTCGAGTTAATTGACAGCCAGAAGAGAATTGTGGTCAACGCCGTCGAACAGGAGATGCACCAGTAAGTCATTAATAAACTCTATTTTATTCAGTCAGTCCACTCTATTGCGATTTTTGGTGAGTTCCCGTTATCGCGACTGTATATGGACTATTGGAGCCAAACAAAATTACACGACCTTCAAGAAAACGAAAAAAAATATATGTATCTTATAAGCAAATAAAGCGATTCAATTCAATATTGTCTGATTAAAATCACTAATTTTTTCTCAAAAATATAACCCTGCGCTTGTCTTTCAAAACGTTTCACCTGTACTCAGATGCGTGCGCAGAAATTTTTTGTTGGGGGGAGGGGGTGCGGGGTGCGGTTTTTCGAAAAATTTTGTAAATTTTTGCGGACCGTTTTTGTTTTTAGGCCGATCAATTTGATTTTCCGAGTATAATTATTCAAAATTTTTTTTAGTATAATTATTCAAATTTTTTTGAGATTTTTTTTGAATTGTTGAAGCAAAAGAATGGTGTACCTATCTAATGCTTTCTTAAATTAGTCGCCAGAGCTGTTTTTTTTTGTTTTAAACAATTTTCACTATAAATAAAGTCAGTTTCCTTTATTCCTGTGGTTCATAAATTAACCAGTCTTGTTTTTTTCTCATAAAAACTCAATTCATCTTTTTTTTTTAAAATCTTAGTCAAACTAGATGGCATCAGTTCCTGATTTATCGGCTAAGTCAACCAACACGATATTTGACAAAAAAGGACGTTTTATCCTTTTGCATTTCCCGAGGGGGACCCCCGGTTTAAAGTCCAAACTTTTTTTTTATAGTTACTCTTTTGTTTTAGTTCAACTGGCGTCTAACCAAGTTACGTCTTGGCAGTTTTTTTTCAAATTGAACATCATTTGAGACAAATGTATGAAATTTTTGTAGATTCATTCATTTTTTTCCGACTTATGAATTCCGTCTCACTTTCTGTTCGCACGGCTACAATGTCGTGTTTGTTGTAACACAACTGAGGTTAAATTCTGCTTCACCTGTGTTTTGAACTTGAATTTTGTTGCAAAAATTACAGCTTTTAAAAAACAACCAGCAATTAGTTTATGAAAGTTTTTGGTAGTATTTGTGAACCACAGAAAATATATCTCTTCCATGAGCTTCAAGCTGGAAATAACTTCCTAGATGGACTCTTTTTTGCTTCCATAGTTAGTGGGTTTTATAAACTATATTTAAAATACTATTTAGTTCAACATGACTTTTAGTTTATTTGCTCAAAAGGTGAACTTATCAGTGGTATAAAATTATAACTAAGGCTGGGACGAAATGATTTTGTGATATCAAGATGAAAGGCGGTTGAATGCGGCAGATGAGTAGCACATAATTAAAACCATGAATATTATGACTGCCTTTTTAAATTTGATTTATTTTATGCACAAAAGATTTTTAAAAAACTTTATTTTGAAGAAAATTAGTTTGAGATTTCTTTGGTTTTTTCTCCACCCACTAGCGATAACAAAAGAATTAAATGATCTCCCCTCTATAAATAAATACAGTAAATTAGCTTTAGAGCTTTGTTTTGAGCATTTCCGTGCAGTTCATTTTGCCGAAAACGCGTTCAGCATTTCAGATACATGGCTGTCGCTAAAAAATACCCCCGAGGGGACCCTTAGGTTTAATTAGGAGGGCGTGAATGTATGAGGAAAAGGGAAAAGAACCTCCTACCCCATAAACACCGAATCACCCTTTCTAAAGTGTAGGACTCTCTAGAGTCATTTTTTCGGCAAAGAGATTGTTCTATTGTTGATTCTGTTGCTCTTCTGCTTATAGACTGCGGATGTGTCTGCGGGATATCGAGGAGGGGAAGAGTCAAGTGTCCCCCTACTTGACAGACGTGGACGCCCGAAGGAGTCTCACCTCCTCCTCCATGGGACCCACGCCAAGACTACTCATGAAGCCCATTGTGAGAAATACAAGTGACATATAACCAAAAAAATGACTTAGGTTAAAGTATATGACCAAAATACAGGATCTTAACAGCTGTAGAAAAATAGCGACACGATCATTTAGTTCATATTGGAAGTTTCCAAAAAGCAATAAAAAGATCTGCTACGACTTATGCGAAAGTTTTGATGGCCTTTTTTTAGATCGACCCAATTGATTTTTCCAGCTCTCCTAAAATTCCTCAAAGACCCTGCTTAAACCAAGTTTTCTGCGGCGCAGGCAAATTTTTGAACTTTTTGCAAGATTTAGACCAATCAGGGGCGGATTTGGGGGGAAGCCCTCCCCCTCAGGGATTTGACCCCTGTCGACCCAAAGGATCCCCCTTTGTACTATTTTGAGATATCTATGTTGTGTAAAAATTTTCTAAAGGCGCCTTTGGTGCCAATATATTAATTTTGAGGGGGGAGCGCGTGGATAAATGACTGAGTCTTTTGGATATTTTCTTCGTGGATAAATACGGTCATATAAGTTTGCTCCTACTGAATATCGGGAGTGATGGGGAAACTTTAGATTTTCTTCAATTCTAGGTGAGCATGAGCAAGAGTGACCTGGCGAAACAGAGGGCTAAACTGTTGCAGAGGGAGTACAAGAAACAGAATGAGATGAATGAGTACCTCAACCACCTCTTCCAGACCATCTCAGACCGCAACATCAAGGAGTTGAGCAACCTCGCCAGTAAGCTTCAAGTCTAGCATGAGGGTAGGGGTGAGGCTCGGTTTTAAAAACAATTATAAGATATCGATTATAATTTTTTATGGTGATCAAAAAGATCTTTGGAGCTCTCGAAAAAAAAAGAAAATGACCTTTTCGTGCCCTTTTGACGCGATAGTTTGCGCGACAATTTTTTTCCTATTAACGCGTAATAGTCGTGTATACCAAAAATTGGTTAATTTTTGGCTCAATTTCTATGATAAAAAAATACACAAAAAGAGTCATATCCGCTTTTGACAAAACTATTTCAACCCTAAGAAAGGACTGGGAAGGCAAATGAACTTCCGCGACCTATGAAGTGTTTTTGAGTCGGAAAGCGACCATGGTATATAGTAACAATATTTTAATTTTAGATTTTTTTTTAAATCACAACCCACACGCTTTGTAAAGTACGCAGAGAAACTTTCAGCATGAATTAGCGTATTAATCAAAAATTAACAAGTTTCAAAAATCTTACTTTCAAAACTTTGATAAAACAGTGTTTTGGATGAGCTCAAAAAAACAATAAAGTCAGTCTAATGCGAAGGTCTGCAAACTTGTTGAGGTGCGTCAACTTTGCAACACAATCCAAAAAAATGGGAGGCCATTAATATAAAATTATGCTAATTTGAATTTGATATTAAAAATAGGGTCGGTCGGATTATGTAAATTAGTACCAAAGGAGGACCCTTCGGGTAACCAGTCAAGGGGTCGATTCCGCGAGGGAAAGGAGGAGCCCGCTCCCATCACTAAATCTGCTATTGCGAATTACCAGAAAAAGAAGTTTGGTAATAAATTGTCCCCTAAGAAGAATTTTCTCTGCCAAGTTGATAAGTTTTAATGTTTTTGGGGTTTGATTGGACTAGTTCCTTTGCATCAATCAAATATGAAATGATTCTCCGCGCTGAAATGATTCCGTTGTAGGCAATGAACAGCATAGTGTTATTATTTCATATTAAAACCGAAACATATAAATTATTGTAGGCAAAAAGCGTGACACCGCCACCAAAAACAATCTGTTTATATCCATTTGGAGTATGATTGAAAACCGTTGCTTAAAATTTTTGGAATAACTCGTATAACGTTTCAAGTATTGGGAATGAAAACGACTCTACTCGCGAAATACGACCTTACGAACGACTATGCTCGTAAACACGAATGTACGAATGACTATCACGAGAAAAAACGAAGCTAATAATCCAACCCTTGCTCAGAGAAAGGACTGCTATATTTTTGTAACAAATAGTAGATAAAGTTTCCTTGAGTTGAAATTGACCCTTAAATTAAATATGAAGTCTGAAAGCAAGTTCGTAGTAAATTATACTAAATTCTTTTCTAATTTAATATTTTTCTGCGAACTTTAGTTTTACTTTCTAAAATAGAAAGTAAAAAAGACATTATATTCCTAGCAAGCGTTTTATCCCACGTGGATAAGTACTGCTAGCGTAATAAAAGATCAATGGTTAAAACGAGCACTTAGTAGTCAAAAAAATTTGGCTTTAGTTCGACAAGCTTGCCAGTTTTTTTTTATTGTCGATTGATAAAAAACACGCCAAGATTATAACTTAAGATTTTCATATACGCTAATTTAGGAAATATATTAAACAAAGTTGCAGGATTATTTCACCGTTTAAGCGTTTTAGAGTGATATATATTGGGCTTTATTTATCGCAAATTGACCAACTTGGCTTTTTTTTAACCGTCATAACTTCATGAAGTTCATGAAAAATTGCTTTTTTTGGTGAAAATACCAGAAGTATGCCTAGATGGTACGGTTCTCAAAATTAAGGTTTAAGCGTGCTCCCTCAAATGTACAGTAAAGAATTTGAAACAAATATTTTGGCAAAAATGTAGGGGACTTCGACGCTTCTTCTCTCAAGTATTTGCCTGCCGACCAAAATGGCCCCCTTTTGTACTACTTTGAGATATCACTTCTTTGCTGACGGACCTTATAAATTTTCTGAACGCGCCTTGGGCGCCAATATATACTATCTTTTAGTGCGAGGCGCGCGCCAAAAAACCGCAATTTTTTTGTAAAAATTTTGCAAAAAGTGTCTAAAAAGTGAAGCTTCTTCTCTCAAGGATTTGACCTGCCAAGCAAAAGAGCCCCTTTTTGTACTATTTTGAGATATCACTTTTTGGCTGACTGACCCTATAAATTTTCTGAAGGCTCCTTCGGCGCAAATATATACTATCTTATAGTGGGAGGCGCGCGCCAAAAAAAAACGAAATTTTGTGGTAAAACTTTCGCAAAAAGTGCCTAAAAACGCTATTTTTGTCTCGTTTTTTTTTTTCCAAAAATTTGCCTGCGGCGTACAAACCTTGGGAAAACAGGGTATTTTTAGTGTTTTAAGGGAGAGTTTTCAAATTTGTAGCTTCGTTTTTCAGCTAAGTTGATAGAAAGTTTTGAAAATTTCCTGTTTTCTGGACAAGTTGCTTTTCTCTTAATTGAAGTTTATTTTTTCTTGTTGTAGGTAAACCTTTGTTTCATTTTTTCTAGCATAGACATTGGTTTACTTCTTCAAATCATGTCACATTTTCATGAGGGCTGTTAGTTTCCAATAACTTTGGTTGGAAATCCGTTCAAACTTTCGGGTTTTGTTCGATTTACCCGGGTTCTTTGAATGAGTAGCCATTATAAAACTATGTAAGATTATGTAAGCTTCATATGAACCTTCCATGTCGGAAACTGTAAAAAATAGCACTTTTTGCTCAAATAACTGTTTCCACAGTTGGTAAAAAAAATCAGTATTCTTGTCTAACAGGCAAAAAAAATTAAAATTAGCACCGGTAATCAAAAACGCAATTTTTTGGTCAAAATTTTCCAAAAAGTCCCTAAAAACGCCTTTTTCGGCCTGGTTTTTTTCAAAATTTTACCTGCTGCGCAGAAATTTTGACCAGAACATAGTCTTTGTAGTGCTTTTGTTAGAGCTCGGAAAATAAATTTGGTCGACCTAAACAAAAAAAAATTTCGAACCCGGGTATACAGATCTGGGCATTTTGTCTTCGGCGCAAAATCAGATACCACAAAAAGAAACCAAATTCGTTCAAAAATTTTTGAGAACGCTTCTAGCGCAAGTTTACAACAGTTTCCCTTATATCGAGGATAACTCCTTATTAGGAAAATCCAAAACATAATTTATCAATAAACTAAGTTTTCAGCTTTATGCTGCATGGGAACTGAGTTCGGAATTATTGTGAGCCAGTTGCATATCATAAACCGGTGATTATTTCTTGATCTTCATTTCAGCAAGTCACAATAGAAGCGCTAACACGGCCAAGAGTAAAATGTCTAGTTGCCATGATATTGACGAGGCAAGTTCGGTTGTTGATGACACCAACCCACCGTCAGCTGCGAAAAACACAAACAGACGAGGCTCTACGTTTTTGGAGGTCCCAAAAATGGTTAGACTCAGTTTCCTGCTTTGGAGATGATTCCAGTAAAAAAGTACTTCAAGTGCAATAAATTTGAAATAACTTTTAGTGTTTTTGCTGCAAGGAATTCCGATTTTGCAAGGATGCTTCAAGGAATTCCGATGTGATGTTTTAGTTTCTCAAAATCATCTTAAAAGATATAAATCGTATTAATTATTTCCGAAAAAAGTTCTGAACATTTTTTTGAAAGCTCTGCTTCTATTGAAGTCAATTTTTTTATAGTTTCAATATGAATATAATTAGTGATTCTTTTTCTTTTTAGAGTGATAAAATGGCAAATGTGGTGAAAAACAAGCTGAGCAAGAAAGCTTCAAAAATTGAGCTGCCTCGAATTGATGCTTGTGGTCTATCGAGGGAAAGGTCGAAAGTATCTTTCAAGTTGGATTCGCGCGAAGACTCGACTATGGGTGAGTAGATATCGCGGGGAGACAATTCGTGACAGTAGGCTTTTCGGGAAATATTAATTCACGCGCATTATTCCTCCCGTGCTGAATGTAAACCGCAGCGGAGCAAGCGGTCGCTATTACCACTGCCTGTTACGAATTATCACCTGTTACGAATTGTCGCCGCGCCTGTAGATATTTATTAATTAATGATTAATATTGGGGTCATTGGTGCCTTATTTGCCAGTCGCAGTCAAAGGGTTGAATGTGCGAAACCTGCCATGTTCTTAGCTCTATGAGACTGAGGAAATATTACCAAAAAATGCCTCGTTCCTAGACCAAAAAAATCACCCAAGTAGATGAAAGAGGCAAAATTTCATTTTTGGGCGTTTTTCGAAAGGCTGACCAAAACAATTGATTTTTTTTCTCAAAATTAGTATAAATTGTCTCAAAAAATGTCTTGAGAAAGACCTTGGGGCTGGTCCACTAAAATTTTATGTGGTAAAATACTGCCAAAGCTTAGACCTTTTTGATGCAGATAAGCCTCAAGCTCTCCGCTGCTCGTATCTCTTTGAAAAGTGCTCAAATATCAATTTGAACATTTTTTTTCTGGTTTTTCTTCACCTATTATCAGGGAACGCGTTGACCCGCTTAAAAAAGTTGTGACTTCATCAAAACATTTTTAAAAAATTGACTCAATAATTGCATTGTTTTCACTGTAAAAATTTTAGATAATCAGTTTGGTTAAATTTAGTTTTGAAATAGGCTTCAAATTTTGAATTTTACAATTTTGAACTTCCTTCTCGCAGGAATCCCAGCTGTGATTTAAAAATGTGTTTTGACAGATGAAAGTTTGGAGCAAGAGGTGTCTAAAATGGCGAGCAACCTACTTCAGATGCAGAAGAGGTCAGCGCGGATTAGACGGAAACTGACGGACCAAAACATGGTGTGGACAGACGGTGCTATGGCGCTGTCTCTCCGGAAGCTCCGACGGGAGAAGAACCGGTCGGAGGAGTACGTCATCAAAAACAGCAGCAGCAGTCGAGCTCTTCTGGCGCTTACGAAAGAGGCGGACTCAATTGACAGGAGCAAAACTGTGGAGGTGCAGAAAGGGAGGTTGAAGCTCCATTTCAAGGCTGATGATCGGGCCAAAAAGAACAGAGACCACAGGAAGTTCCAATCTGGGAGGAACCAAAAAATTGAAACAAAAATCATGAGTTTTGTTCAGCATTGAAACCAGAAATTGAACGAGTTTTGAAAATCTCAATTAAATGTGAAATATCGAGTTTTTAGGAGCACATTCTAATATTATGTGCCTTTGGCTTGACTCAGGAAGATGAAGATGCGTGTTATATTTCATCGCGATTGTTTGTAAGTTGGTTTTGAACTGTAATTTTTTAAAGATCCCTCAGTCTTAAAGATTTTTTTTGAAACTCAGCCCCCCACACGCTATTCAAACGAAAAGTGTTATTTCTAGCATAAGGTAACGTATTGATCAGAACAAGTAGCACGCCTTTTCTCATTTGGGAACTAATTTTAAACAGCATTAAATAGTCGCTCACGAAAAAATAGCACGAATTAAACAGCGCGCAAAAATCATCCCAAAATATTCCGAAATGATCGCAAAACGTTTTTTTTAGGTTTGAGCTCAAGACATCTATCGGTTTCAGATGATTTTCAAAAACCCCAAAAATTGAAATTTGTCTGGGAAAAAAACCCCTCCCAAGCACAAATAATCCGTCTTTTTTGTTCCAAGGTCGGAACAACAAGACTGCTAGGAGTCAGTATACAAATCTTAATGTTCATAGTAAGCTTTAGTCGACCGTTTTATAAAGACTTTTGCTTAGTAAGCCAATAACTAGTTGATACAATTTACTTTCAGTAACGCAATAGTTTTATAGATTACAAGCTTGGCTCGAATTATTTTATCCGCACTTTTGGCTAGTTGAAACCGTTCTCTACGCTCTGTTAAGAAAACCAGAAATGTAATTAATTATGAGTTCGGGGCATCAATGCCCATCAAATGACATATAAAATACTTTTTTTTTCCCATTTATTGCCCCTTAAAGGTTATGAAGTAATATTTTTGCTATTAAAGAAAGATTCAAAATGATTTAAGAACTAATTGTATTCTTGTTTTATACTTTTTTTCACAATATACTTACCCTCTTTCATCCTGTATAAAAAGCAGAAACAAATGTCGCGTTTGGGCAGGGGACCGCACTATTACAAAATCAATCATTTGCCTTCATCAGCTTGTAATGGTTTTTGAGTCAAATTATTGGACAGTTTACAGGTCACAAGAACGAAGCAAAAAAATTTGCGCGTTGCGAATTATCTCGCTGCACAAAGTCGTTCTTAATTCAATTGAGGCAGGCTAAGTGGTCTTATTAATTCCATACACGATTTTTATTATACCGATTAAAGTTCATAGTTTGTCAAAATTTCATTAACCAAAAAATATTCGAGACCAATTTATGGACAATCGGAACATTCAGAAGTTACTCTGATACGAGCAGTCTTGTTAAATAGTATAGATAACAGAAAGAAAACAATTTAAAACTGCAATGTTTTAATTAAAAACTCAAATAGATCCGGAGAAATAAACACAAAGCAGGCAAATTTCTTAGTCCGAACACTTTACGAAGTGAAAGGCAGGAAATATGGTGTAGGCTGTGTTTTCTTTTCCCCGCTTTTTAACCCGAATGAAAAAGTGTGCGGCATCGACTTTGGTACTATGTGAAAGCCCTTTCAGCCGTGATTTGAATTTTAAAATTAATTTCAAATTATTTGTCACAATGTCGAGATAAATTGGTCTGATTTTTACCAATTTTCAGGAAAAAAATTTATGACAACCCAATTGTTCAATTTTGATAACTCTCAATTGATACTATTGCTTTGTTAATTTATTATAGCTATAAAGCAATAATTATGTCTCATTCGTTATTACCTTACTTATTTGAACCACCTTTATATACATATATATATATATATATATATATATATATATATATATATATATATATATATATATATATTTATATATAAAAACAGCTATAAAACTTTCCCTTTTTTCAATATAATTTTTCCCTAATTATTATTTATAAATAGTGGTCAAAACATTCTATATGCTACTTGCAAAGCAAACGCCTATCCTTGTTTTTTATGGACTGCAGCAGGGGGTGAATTTTTTACCCTTTCTTCAACAGGAATTCGACACCCAGAACACTCAAATGTAACATTTTTTAGTACTATCTGGTAGCCACGTTTTTGGCAAAGCAACGCCCTTAAATTTTTCCATTTCGCCAATATATACTAAGTTTGAGCGGAAATTCCTTCAAATTGATGTCCAAGATTCAAACAATTTTTCTAAAAGGAAAAAGGCCAACATACGAGCGTTCAGTTCATTACGGATAACCGCTGTTGTGCCCCTGGTAAAAACATAAGTACTGGTTAATGTTGCCTCATACTGAAGGAACGAGCACGAAACATTGCGGGCTCGAAAACTTGAAAGCCGATTAAGAGGCAAAGACGTAACTAACCACTTCACCACTAGCTTTCTTTCTGAACTAAGCATTAAGCCCATTTTGGCTCACAGTTTTCGCGTTTTAGGAATATTAATGACACAGTTGGTCGGTTTATACGTTTTTTAAAATCGCCAAACACTGTTCCGAGAAAACCGTAGATTTACCCTTGTACTTCAAATCAGTGCTAAAATTTTTTCAAACCTCGAACTTTTTCTGGGTTTCAAGTTTTGGTTATTACAGTTATTTAATTAGTACAAAAATTATTACAATGATGATTGAAGTATTACGATTCTGATCATGAAGTATCAAGTTGACTTATTTACAAAGATCATTGGAAGCGTTTGGATGTTATAGTTTTGAGCTAGTTTGTTCTAGAACGATGTTCCAGTTTGTCTGGCTGATCTGACCATCATTGTACAACATCTTGCAGCCATCATATTTTATCAATAAACAAAAAATTTAAAATTGAATTTCTGCATTTTGTGCAAAAACAGTTTTCGATTTGTTTGAAGCGTTGTTTTGAATTTAAAAAGATCATTTCTCATTTGTTTCATCTCTGCATCAAGACTTGTTTTTTTTATTTTCTGTGTTTCTGCGAAGTATTAAGAAACAGCCTAAGCTTAGGCTGTTTCTTATTTGTTCGTGATTTCACTGACGGGGCACTTTGTGCTTTTCGTCCCAGTCGCTCCAGTAGTCTCCCTCCTCCCCGCACTCAGTTATACTCCCGTCCTTCATGTAGTTTCCCACTTCGTTCCCTTGATGTCCTTGCTCCGACTGCAATACTTCCAAAAAATCGTGCACTGCTGCTCAAAAACCTTTATACCGATATTGAAAAAAGGAGACTACATTCTTTTGTGCCTGCATAGTCCCCTGGTTTCTTTTTGATTTACACATTTGTCTACAGTCTTCGAAAAATTTGAGCGATAATTTTGATTTTTTTTCCGTTTTCTCAAACACAAATCTGATATTTTTGTTTCAATGAGTAAAACAGATATTTTTGAAGCTTTGCTCCATAAATGGCTACGCCCAACTTTTTTCTACACATAAAATTATGGCCTTCGGAATGGTTGAATTTCTTGACCTTTTTTCACTTTCGAACTTATTTCCAACTCTGAAGTTGTGGGTTCATTGAAGATAACGGATAGTGTGAAGCTCCCCTACATGGCCAACATGTTTTTTAACCAAAAACTTATCGTCCTTGGAAAAGTCAAGTTTTTGTTTTTGGGCGTTTTTTTTTAAAATTTATAAAGCTTAGTAAAAAATATCAGCCAATAAAGCAGATTTTTGGTTCATCTCAATGAACTGTTTGTGAAAAACTTTTTTGTATACGAGACTATGCCAAATTTTTTGACACAATAAATTATGGCCCTCGGAAAAGTCAAAGTTGAGTTTTTTGAAAATTTTTTGAAACTTTTTGATTTTTCTCGAGAACTACCCTGCCAAATCTGGGTTTTTGCGTTCAATCGAAATTATATTTTAAGTAAATTACTTCTGCGTGAGCGGCTACGCCAATATTTTTAAAACAAAAAACTATGATTTTCGGAAATGTCATCTTTTTGATTTGTTGATATTTGTTTGGAGATTTTTCAATAACTATCCTGCCAAATCTAAAATTATAGGTTTAATTGAATGGAAGCTTGCCTTTATAATTTGTTACGTCCAGTTTTTCTTAGAAAAAAGTCAAAGCCATCAAACAAGTGAAAGTTTTGAAACTCTGACCTTTTTTATGGAAGTTTTTTTACTCTACTCAAAAATTACCTTACCAGTTCTCTGGTTTAGTGTTCAATCGAGAAACCAGATTTTTTTGGAGTTTTCTCTAGTTTACTGGCCACGACCAGCTTTTTGAACTTTGACCGTTTTTCAAACTGTTTGAGTTTTCTCTAACCCATTTCGTTCTTCTCACTTTGCACCTATTGCTAAGGTTTTTCTATATTTTTTAATAGGTAATAAACATGTTTAGTCCACTCGTAAGTATTTTTCATCGTTAGTATAAAAATTTATCGGCAAAAAAAAATATTGTCAAGCTGAGATTACAGCAATTGTTTTAAAAGATTAGAGTTCTATTCTTCAGCATATAATTTCTCAGCATATATATATATATATATATATATATATATATATATATTTATATATAAAAACAGCTATAAAACTTTCCCTTTTTTCAATATAATTTTTCCCTAATTATTATTTATAAATAGCGGTCAAAACATTCTATGCTACTTGCAAAGCAAACGCCTATCCTTGTTTTTTATGGACTGCAGCAGGGGGTGAATTTTTTACCCTTTCTTCAACAGGAATTCGACACCCAGAACACTCAAATGTAACATTTTTTAGTACTATCTGGTAGCCACGTTTTTGGCAAAGCAACGCCCTTAAATTTTTCCCATGTCGCCAATATATACTAAGTTTGAGCGGAAATTCCTTCAAATTGATGTCCAAGATTCAAACAATTTTTCTAAAAGGAAAAAGGCCAACATACGAGCTGTTCAGTTCATTACGGATAACCGCTGTTGTGCCCCTGGTAAAAACATAAGTACTGGTTAATGTTGCCTCATACTGAAGGAACGAGCACGAAACATTGCGGGCTCGAAAACTTGAAAGCCGATTAAGAGGCAAAGACGTAACTAACCACTTCACCACTAGCTTTCTTTCTGAACTAAGTATTAAGCCCATTTTGGCTCACAGTTTTCGCGTTTTAGGAATATTAATGACACAG